GAGCTTGATAAAAAGAGTAGAATTTATTGATACATTGGTAACAAAGATGTGAAGAAACTCAATCATAAAATCTAAATAAAAACATGTTCGCATCCCTGAAGTTTTGCCAATTTGCACTGAAGTTAGTTACCAATAAAAATCGAATCCCACTAGTTTAGAGTGACTGTCAGTTCTAAAAAATAACAAAATATTTATAATTATAGACAAGTTCGCTTAAATCGCTTGTGTTTTACTGATCGAGATAAATAATTCAACCCAAATTGGTTATAGATTTTGATGTACGCAGACGTAATGAACATTTAATACTATTTTGTCAGTATATTGTCTTCATTAAATTTCGAATATTCGTTTTTCAAAGAATTGTAAAATGTATTTTTGAGATATGATGGGTTTTTAAACGATTACTGGTACTACGAACGGAAATTATTTCAGGCTTATTTCGGATTTTCTTTTGAAAGCCCATATCCTACTTGACATAATTAAAGTTAATCGTATTCGACTATGTAAGTTGCTAAAAATAGATCGTTACGCATTGCAACAGCAGTAGACTGGTTGACTGAATCCGAATCTTCACTTGCTCCATCTTGTCTGAAATTCCACCTCGTCTCTTACAATGTATTACCGCATCTGTACGTGAGCAAACTCACTTTTCAACAATGGCCTACTTAAACAAAACTCACCGTATATAAATATATATTGACAAATAGTAACTGATAACGGTTCAGTATATTGGAAAAGCACTCATTTGCAGATTTAGGTTTAGCACAATCAAATATGAGCTTGGGTAACATGGTCTTCGCGAAATCACCACTCTCTTTAACGTACTTTGTAACAACCACGTTTGTTTCTATGAAGAAGGTTTTTTATTGAAAAATTATCAGCTGCGGTTAGCTGAAATATTTGCTTTTTGAGAAATATGTTATTACATCAAATTTTATCTAATTATTTTCATCCTAATTATAGATCTAGTTGTTATACGCAATTAAGACTTATTGGCAAGTGCAGACATGTATGTCTGAAAATATGAACGTTTTCTGACTTTAAAATAATTAGTTGATAACCTTAGTAACATCGGCAATCGAAGAGCAGTTGTGGGGCCTTCCATCCCCTTAAAATAACTATCTCTTATATACAGATTGAATTTACACACGTTCCACGACAGTTATAAATTATGAAAAAATATAATTGAGATTCTTCTCTGGTAAAATGTTATGCTAATTTGTCAATTACTTTAAACATTTCAGATTTTCGAAGGTTTGAAAACCCTGAACGCCCGCTTCTGTTGAAAATGATGTTTCTGCATAAGAAAACACAAAATATACACGTGGTATAATTGCTACTATAGAATCCGAAAGATTCATTCATCCATTCATTTTCAGGGCCACCCGACCATATATATGTCTATTTGTTGTTTTAGATTAAATCTACATAACAGCTAACTAATTATTTGACACATAATCTATTCTCAGCGCACGTGTAACTTGGGTCTGACTAAAGAGGCCCGAATAAATGGGACAAAGTGCTGAATACACTCTTTAGCCCAAATAACACAAATGTGCCTCAAGTGCGAATGCTCAAAATTTATAGTGTTTGTATTTTGAACTTTGGTTATAATGATTTTCTGGAATACAAACCAACACGTTTTTTAACTTTCTTTTTTTGAATGTTACTACATTGTAAATGAACATACATACTATACTGTATGTTCGTAGCTCTTTTTCATTTCTAAAGTCACGACGCAAGAGCGCCACCTGTGGAAACAATGACTTGGCAGCAGACGAAATCAGAGAGGTGAAACGGAATTGCAATAAAGTTTACTAAAAATGTGGTATTCTCCTCGGCTGTAAACAGATATGGCTTATCAATATCTATTCTGTAAAATATTATTTTCAATGTTAAATTACAAGAAAAACACATTATCCAAGATCTTGAATCATTTCAGGATTATGAAAATAGATGGATGACGTAAATGATTACCACAAACAAGTTGGCATTTTTAGAATGATTGCTCAGTAGTCGTTATATATTGTGGCTTGTTTTGCGACAGTAATCAGTAATTTATTTCTTCACTATATGCTGAAAATACACACTATGTATATACACAAATCTAAAGAAATATACAAAATAACATTTCAGGGTGAAAGGAAACGCTGAAAACCAATATAAACTGGTTATCGAGCGGCTGCCCTCTTGGGAAATAATGATATTTTTATGACAGGAATAAAGTTGTAGTACTAATCCTAACATGTTACTTTGTACAAGTGTTTTGATGTCGGAGTCAAAGTTTTCAAATACAGGAATTATATAGTCGTGAGGACAGAAAGTTGAAGTATTCAACAACAGCGAACTAACAAACCGAAAGTAGTATTATATACCATTCCTAGTTGGCCACTTTGTATAAAACATAGAGAGAGAGAGATTTAAAAAATTATAATTTATTAATTTTGAGGATCAATGTTGTTAGTATTGACGGAAATTTTGTTGCAGATATTATCCGGACATTGCAGATATGACCGACAATTAAGCTGAATGTAAGAGTCACGTTCAAAGGAAAAGGTCACAGACAAGTTATCTTCGTATATTTTCTATCATAGCCAAAAAATAAATGTGGTCGGTATAGTCTATTTCTACAGCAACCACAAGATGGTAAATATTAAGTATATGTGTCTTCCTGGGTGAGATTGACGTCGCACTGACCGAAAAAACGTCTCTCTGTATCGCCGTATAAGTCTCTGATTCCAGGATTGTTTTATAATATATAAGTAAAAAGTGAAAATAGTTGATCGATTGAGGCGTTTAATCAAAATTTGTTTAAAGATGAATATATATTAAGTTACGGATAAATACAAAGTTATAGGTAAATATAGAGTCCTGCCCAGTGCCTAATTGTTAATCTCGTCAAGTTTTAAAAATTAGTGATATATATTCTGTTGACGGCATTTTACCGTACGTCATGGAGTAACTTTTATTCGAGACTGACATTAAAATGAGGACAAAGTTATCTAAAATTAGAGATGCTATTTTGACTAAAATATCCTATTTTTAAAACTAGAGATAAAATAACACAAACGATAACATCAAATCTGGGTACACTACCGCATACCACGTTGGCTGAGCGCGAGTTTCAAATTATTCATGCGAATAACTTGGGTGGATCAATTCGAAAAATCGAGATAAAATTTTGACGTGGTAAAACTCTCTTAACAAAATCTAACATTTATTTTAAAATCCTTCCCATTTTCAAATATGTTTTATTTTCATGATATATATAATGACAACGTATGTGTAATAGTAACATCAATAATTATTTCCCTTCATAAAAGAAACTTGCCGTCTTAGCCTTTTCGAATCATTCCGGATCTTTGCTTTTGTTCATTTCAGTATATTGTTATCATTTATCATAGTTTATTATATTGTAATTATTTCCCCCTGGAAGTGGATCTTTCGTAATAATACAGCCTAATATTTATAGCAGGCATATATAGCCTAATAGGAAAATAATAGAGTTAGGACTAAGGAAAAAGTATGCGTATAGGATTTATAGTATTGGTGCCAATTAAACGTTTATACCTCTTGCACCTTTTGTACCATAGAGCCATTTCACCATTATTTATTTTATCCATTTGCATCTGTTTCATTTTTTCTTCTGTTCAACTAAAACATTGAACTAAAGTTTTAGAAGAGTACAACTTATTCTATTTTGTTATCCGTGTAAATTCTTGAGCATTGATTTATTTTAGATCGTATGATGGTTTTAAATTTACCTCGACGACAGAATGACTGAGTTGACCGGCTAATCATGTTGCTATCAACGCCCTCCAGTCCTGTTGTTACGTCAATTTCTTCCCTCATTTTCTGCTGAAACATCCGTCCTGTAGCAGGGCTGGTCAAGAAGATCGACTCATCATTTAATTACTAAGTAGCACTTACGTGGTATTTCCTTCTTTGCATTTCCTCAGAGATATATTCAAATATATTGCATTTATTTGTTGATTTGCTGACTATCATAAAATCTATTTGCATTTTTATTTTAAATATAAAGCTAATCGCAAGTAACCCGGCGATTGCTTTGCACAAGTGTAATTAATCTTCATTAATCGGTGCATGTTGTGAAATTCGTACCCAAGATTTAGGAAACACGCTGCTCTAGGCCATGGGAGAATGTTGTACATAACACACAAGGCAGTAAAGGCGTAAAATGCGCGCCAATAAACCAACGGATTTGGTACATGTCCGTCCTGGGACTCTTCTACTCCGCTAATAAAGAAGGGCGTTATGTGAAGGTCGAGGTATGGCAATAGTTTGTCATTTTGGTTGCATAATTTGCTGTATAATGGTTCTGCTTTTGTAAGAGTCATCATATTTTTGCGTGACTCATATTCAAGTCGTTAAGTTCAGATACAACGGTTTATGTTCACTATCGGAATTGTTCTGATATTGATGTCATACCAGACCGCCATAAAGACGTAACTCTGTTTTCAAATGCGCGCCAACTAAATGTTTTGTCACGGAAAAGTTCGTTATAAAGTTCTAAGGGCAGTAAATCAACTTGTGGCAGGAGCTCGCGAACTTGCTTTGCGCAAATTTACATGGGAGAATACTACGTCGATTACTCGATCCAGTTTAGACACAAGTATGTCCCGCTGGCAATATCCATCCTCTATACCAGGGGTGGGCAACTTCTCTAGTCGGCGGGCCAGATGTGGGAAAATGAAGTCCTCGGTGGGCCTGAATATTACATGAATGTTTACAACGCTCTCTACTTTGACCTTATATTGTTTGTTTAACAAGTGTGCTAACGCAATTGTTTGTTCACCAAAGCAATTGTTTATTTCACCAGCTTGTACTGACAGTGCGATGAGAGTAGAGCGATCGGTAACTTTCAGGAATGATGCGTCTGACCACATTACAGAGTGTGGTTGGATACAGTCAGCGGGCCGGTCAAAATGTCGTGGGCCGTATGTTGCCCACCCGTGCTCTATACCGACACAGCAATAATATTAACAATTGCTGGAATAATGTTTTTATTTAATTACTTAGAAGAGTAAAAAGGTAGGCTATTATGCTGAATAGGTAGAATAATATATTCGCAATAAAAAGCAAAGAAATTAGAAAAAAAAGCAAAAAATAGGCATTTAGGTTCCATTCGTTCACACTTTCTAGAGTGAATGTACTTGATTACTCGTCTTCAAAAAATACACAGAAATCTATAAACATTGGGATATGCTGTCCCATAAGAAAAAAACGTCGCAACGCGATGCGATGTTGTATTGTGATTTTGTTATCAAATTCAAGGTCCAATTCTAATAGAGACATATTCTCTAAAATTGATAGGGTCACAATATTCCCATTTCGACAAAAATATAAATTAGAATTAGAATTCTCTAATTGATATCTCTTGCACAAAATAACAAGTAAGAAAAGTACACGAAACTAAAAATTGTGACCTCAATGACGTGGCAGCGATATCAGCAAGAATACAAAAAAGGAAGCAAATAAAAAACCAACAAAATGAAATATATATTTAATATTTAGCAGAAAATAGGTAGCGTTCTAAAAAATAACGAAAATATGCTGATGGTAAACAAGTCAAAGTCGAGCAATACGCTCACATTATAAATAAATTACGTAAAAATACTGTGAATTTTAAAAAAGTCCCCAATTAATATTTCAAGAAATTGGACATCTTCCCATATACCACCAATGTCAGAAACACTGTACTTAGTAATAACGTCAGTAAATAGTTGTTGAATCTGTAATGATAATTAGCCTAAAATTGCGCATTGTAAAGGCGAAAACAAACAAACACACATTGACTGCATCTGCATCATCGAGCTATCGAAATAAGCACTTTTACATTTTCAGGATGCGAGATTTAAATGCTCAGGGCGAAAAGCATTAAAGCAAATTTCTACATAATATATGTTTGATCAAGAAAGCGACATAAAAAAATTGTATATTTGAATGTGAAAGATGGATAAGATTTAAGAAACAAAAGAAAATGTCTTAGTTATTGTTGATTCCAATACTTGGTTTATAAATTTGGCCTTGATAGATTTCTCTGTGGTATCCGTTTACGTGCACTCGTCTTTCTCTCTTACGCAAGAACGACAGCGAGGATCAACATTTTTTGATGCTGGAAAAATATAATGAAACACTATAGTACCACTCTATAGTATAAAAAATCTCCTACATTGTTTGAATATTAAATGCCCTAATATTTTTAAATATATCTATTAAATTTCTTGGCTTTCATATCACGTAATTATTACATACCTTTATAATTTATGTGAAACAGACCTTCCCTACGTCTATATGAACTTCATAATTCAACGGTTTTGGCCACGTGATTCTGGTTACTGGAAGTATGTTCACGTCATAGGATTTTATGTATAAAACAGCTCCCTTCCAATCACCATCAAATACCTGGAATCACAGCAATGAATTTAGTTCTTATGAAGCAAAAGCTAAACACTTGTGGCCCAACTTACATAATAGGAATTGGCCAGCATCAGGAATACATGAAATCGGACAGGGGTTTTCACTCCACTCCAAGTATATTTTTGTATAATTATGCGGAAAATATACTATTTTTTCACGGAAAGTTGGACTCAACAGCTCAACAATAAATACATATTGGATTAAGCACAAATATTGTTTTTGCTAATCACACATGCTATAACATATAATTGTGCATTCGGCTGCTCCACTCGACTCAGATTCAAAGTTTTTAATATAGGTGAATGATATTATTGCGCTTCTAGTAAACTGTCACAAAAATGAACATACCCTACAGTTATCATGTAAAATTTCAATATGAACTCTATTTTTTTGTTTTGTAGTAGATGTTTGAGACGCATGCAATATTTTATTATTCCATGAGTGAAGTATCAAGTCCTGCGTTCTGAAAGAACTTCCGTTATTCTAAAAATCAATGAAATAAAAGAATTAGTAATTTAACCTAAACTTCGCTTTGCTATAACAAAATATCCTATGGGTATAAAACCTTGAATTTTTGGTAAAGTATTGAAATTGATTACTACATATTTTTTCATAAAAATGAAGTTCAATTACCAACAAAAACGTCATAGTTTCAATCGCAATGAAATACATTTGAGTACATTAAATTCTGACATATTACAGCAACCTACCATTGTGGTGTTATCAATCGACCACAGGTCAAAGTTCATGCATTTGATCGTAACGACCTGTTGTGCATATGTACTTCGCATATGTAAGAACGATCTCTGTGATTTGGCAAGATTAGGCACAGGCAGATGGTTATTTCTCTTTTTACTATGTAGATACCGTCCTAGTTTGTGGTCCACGAAAATATCTTGAAAGTACTCGATCATATTTGGACCCTCATCTGTAAGTAGTAAGGAGTATTAATTTAGCAAAAATCCCTCAACATATTCGAAAGTTTTATATGAAGTTGCTGCAAAGCCACGGACGGATACAAGTATATTGTGTATTGGCGTCTACTTCGCATTCTGCGTTATATTGATGGCACCAGACTAATTGTTAAATTCTCCTGTACTGCCTATGATTTGTCTTCAATCATAAACGATGGTTGTCATAGTATTTTCTCTAACGTATCTTTAATTCGATTCCGGCCGCGTCTCATTCTTAAAGTATCGGCAGGACTACATAATGAAAAGCATCTATATGCTAATTATTGTTCCATTAGGTTGACGAAAATAAGACGAAGATTGTAATTTGTACTAAAATTATATTTGCAGTATAAGCAAGATTGGTATTGGATTGAAATAGGAAGTTAGTCATAGGAAAGGAAAATCCTACTAAGCAGCTCTGGCTGTGGCTATCTTCCCAGTTTCCAGATTATGTTGGAATATTAAATAAAAATCGGATTTCTCTTTGTAACTGAAGAGATTTGGATCAACAAAGTGTAAATGCACTTTCAGCTAAAAAAGTTTATGAAAAATTTTGGTTTGTGTTGAGCAGAGCCTGGTGCTATATAGATATATGTTATAAATTCCGTAAAAATTTTCCGATTCTTCTTTCATAAAAATGAATTCTAAATTACCTTGAATATTCATGCTTGAATTAAAAGCAATAGAAGGCAAACAGGTCAACGTGGATTTTTGAAACAAACATTCAACTTGAAATCCATCGTTCATGCATCCTTCGTTTGGATCAATCCAAAATATACCTGGAAAATAAGTTCATAGATTAGTAACTTTCTGTTGAATACAAAAGAACATGTAATATGAAAAATATATAGAAACTTTATCATCAAACAATGTGTTGAGTATTTTTATGAGTATTTTTTTTTCTTATTTTCTTCTTTATTTCCTTCAAATTTCAACTTTTCAATTTTTAAAGGAATTGTATGAACTCACCATTTTGTAGACGGTTTTCTCTTCCCTCACGTTTGGAAAGTTCAGAATGAAAAAATTTGTAATCTTGGCAAGTAGTTGCTGACTGTTTTTTACTTTGTCCACTTGTTTTTCTTATATTACGAATAGCATCGTACAAATGTTGCATGTTATATTGAATCTCCCTGCCCTGAGAAGTAATATCAGTCAATGCGTAAGTGGAAGTTTTCTTTTTTGAATTCGTTTGTGGAACAGCGGATTTTTAATCTCTATGACTTTTCATTCAACACAACTAAGAAAGTGAATGGGTCGAATTCTTCTTATTCTGCCAATAACGGATAGGAAAGACGAAGTGGAAAAAAGACAAATCTGATGATGGCCTGACAAAAATTCGTGAAATTGTACTCACAAAATCTCCTAAATCAATTGCATAATCATAACTGTCTTGAGGTTCTACAACACCATGGTCACCCTGTCCTCTGTTGCTGACCGTTGTTAGAGGTGATGCATCATTCAGTATGGCAGTGTTCCCATTGTTGGTTCCAGCTTTTTGGTCAGACCATTGATTCGTAAAATGACCATCCGGACCCTGTGGGAATTGAATTTCTGATGAAGTCTAATCTGGTTTGTATGTCTGATTTATATATTTTCACACAACTGAAACTATACATATTACATATTTGTATTGCGATGCTATTTTTGTGTAGGATAAATTTAAAATAATAGATGGGCACCAGAAGTGTACAGAAAAGAAATGAGTAAAAAAAAATAACTCACTGGTGGTCCTGGTGGACCCGGTCGTCCGCGATCTCCCTGAAAGAAAATGAAAGCGGTATTTAAAGTATGGAAAATAAATATGAAAACGACAAGTCCCGAAAAAGTTATATAACTCACGCGATATCCAGGCATTCCTTCTCCGCCAGGTTCTCCCTGAAAATGCAAATAAAAGTTTCGGATAATATTATGAACTGATTTACAGCTTATCATTCACTGTTTGCACAGTGACAGATAACTGACGATTAATAATGAGCAGAGGAGAATTCTCTCTACTTTTTGAACAAATACAGAATGAAGAAAGCAGAATAATTGTGCGCTCCTATGCAACTTCGTTTTAAATTTATCATGAAAGCCAAAAATAAAAAGCAAGAATAGTTGATGAATATATAGCAACAGTGCATATTCACCACGATCAAACTGTGTATATACGGCAATTCCGTCTTTATTTAAAAACAATCAATACAATATTTCAAGACTATAAAACGAGTCTAAAACAGAAAGCAGACTATAACCAAATCAAAACTTACCATCCAGCCAGCTGGTCCTTCTGCACCTTTGAAGCCTGTTCCGCCTATCGGTCCTTGAACACCAACACGTCCCTGATTTTAAAATATTGTTTTAGGAAATATGGCTGACTTAATTAAATAGCCATTACGGGGTTAAACATACTTCTAACGGGGATCAATAACTTAAACATCTGCTCGTTCAAGTATTCTAAACCAGCGTTTTCTAAATGATGAGTCGCGATCCAGAGTTGGGTCGAATAACAAACCCTTTGGGTCGTTTGTTTTTTTACAGAAAATTAAAATATTGACTCTATTTTCTAGTACATTCTATATTTGGTGTTGCGCTTTTTCTTAATAGTAATTGTATACGTGGGAAGCGTATTACAGCGTAAAAACTTGGCAGAATCTATTTTGCTGAGTAAAGCTAAAGAAGCTAGGCCACGATTTTGAAAAGACGCTGGTGGGAAACGAAAGCAGTTTTCTCACTTTGAAGTAATATCTGGTGTAGGTAAAAATGGTTGTTTTATATAAGTAATTCAATTTCCCTCTAAAAAACACTACATGCCGTTTAGTATTGGAGCATATCCTCAGGTCGCGGGAAATTACAAATTTTTTTTTTAAAAAACTTGGTTTGCTTGAAAAAAGGTCAGAAACCATTGTTCTTAGTCAAATAACAACAACCATTTTTCCCAATGATATCAGAGATAAAACGTAGCCAGCTGACCACGTGTTAGTTGCGCTCACGAGACACCCTTACTATCTTGTATATACACAGGGATGTCACAGTAAGAGCAAGTCACACGCGATCAAATTTTTGTCTTACATAGAAATATTATTAGGCACACTAGCTCAAATACATATTTCGAACAAAAAGTACAAAAAAATGGAACATACTGCTGATCCCGGAGGTCCACGTGGGCCGGTAGGTCCCGGCAATCCAACAGCTCCAGGTATTCCCTGCCATAAAATATTGTGCTCATTTTAACACTGGATATGGACTAAATATCTTGATTCGATTTCATTGTAACCCACTTCTAGATAATATCGAAATATACGAGCAGAGAGTATCAAAACTCTTTATACAACACATACTAACTAGTTTACTGATCACACTTCACACGACGATATTACGTGGCGCGGCATCACCAAGAAATGATCGTAATTTAGATGATTTTCAGTGTTGGGCCGCTTTTGTGGGTATTTCAGTACTTAGTAAATACCAACCGAAACCAAACCCCCACAAAAAAGAAATCATTAATGTTGTATTGAAAATACGAATTGAATACGGATAAGGAAATAAACAAAAAATCTTATAATAGCCCACTTACCGATTCTCCCTGTAGGCCAGCTAGTCCAGGTATCCCTCTATTTCCCTTCAAACCCTGTTTATAATAAGAGTTGAACGTTAAATGTAGAGAACTGTGCATGTCGAAACACCTCATATAAACGTTTGTTTTCGTTCTTGACAACGCCAAGAACCAAAGTAACAATAAACATTTTAAATATAACTTTATAATAATACCATTCTAATAATATCATTCGAGTATACTGAAGCGTAAATACTGGAACGTATAAAGCAGGGCTGCAGGAAATAAGTCTGCGCTAGAAAGAAAGATTTGAAGACCATGCTTCAAAAAGGAAATCAATATATTATTTACCTTGGTGCCTTTGTCTCCCATCTCTCCTTTAACACCACGATCACCCTCTACACCTTCTGCACCCGGAATTCCATGTGTTCCCGTCTCTCCCGGCATCCCTTTTGCACCCTGTCAAATTAGAGTCATGGTTTAGGTAATACTTGAATATTCTAGATTGCTTAAACATGATCCCAAACACCAGGATGTTTTCAGGATGTTTGTGTAATAGTTACACATACTACATCTCATGACTGGTACACTACTTGGCCTGATTAAAAAGTACCAACTTCCAATTTATACTACTTCTTATAGTACCGGGTTGCCATTTGATTATATTTTTGCAATTATATCGATAATATTGAACATGCAAAACAAGGTAATTTCTCGATGAAACAAAAAAGTAAAATCTATTTTTTTTTTATATCAGTAAAACGGAACAAACTTACCCTTGGTCCTGGAAGTCCTATATCTCCCATCAGCCCAGGTCGCCCTTGGATACCTGGTCGCCCAGGTCTTCCCGCATCTCCCCTGGGTCCCGGATCACCAGATGATCCCTATATAAAAATGAATTCGTCAATTTCGAGTTCATATGTAAAAAGAAAGTGATAAATATAATACGCGCTTATAATGCACATTTGAACAGTCACTTAACTTATTTGTCAACTTTTAGTAATTGAACTCATCACTCGAACTACTAACAAACTAACTAATCAAAGGCTGCCTACAAACATGAAAAAAAACGTTTCCATGCTTATAACGAAGTACTTTTCCTATCTAATAAAAGTTGAGATTGGTAAAATAGACTGGCTATACTGGTTATTGTGGCGAAACTTGAACAATTTGTGAGATTCGTCAAAGTCCGAAACAGGATAGAAAAGGGACGTACAAAAACAAAACAAAAATGGAATTTGTAAAATTTGAATATATATGCACTTTAGCCCGAAATGATTTCAAAAAATAATAATGGTACGAATCATTATTTTACTAATGGCTATCACAGATTTTTATCGAAAATTGCGAAATTAGTGACGTGCAATTTTGAGGCCTAATTCGAAGGCGGCTTTTACCGCTTCAAAGAGCGAATATTTATAAAAGTTAACGCCCGTTCGCAATTTCGATCTTCATCTACAGTACACGATCGTCATCGAGGTGTGAGTTGTGATAAAATGACCGTATATGTGAAAAGATATTAATAATAAATTGGTCGGAAGCCCAAGCGATTTGCAAATTCATTCAAGTAAAGATGAGTTTGTCAAAACGCAGGACAAATTTTAAAGTCAGTTTCGCACTTATGTAGTTGACTCCGGAATATATTCAAATAAAGATCAAACGCACCATTGGTCCGATAGATCCATCTCTTCCGGGCGGTCCAAATGGTCCAGCTTCTCCCTATTTAATCAAAACAAGTTTTTTAGTACCGAAGCATGAACATTTGTAAAAGCTAAAACAAAAGATATGAAGCCATCGAGTGAGTTTTGAAAGCGTTGGCTCTCCTGTTTTCTCGTGATCTATCTTCACTTCATCTAGTTTATCTCATTTTGGCTCAATTATCATGAAAACCACCTAAGATATGTACTTTCTTGGAAACGACACAGAATTATGTTCATTCTTCAAACTATGGGAACTTACAGCAGCACCCTTTAGTCCAGGTTGTCCGAGGCGTCCATCTGGTCCAACAATGCCCTATATGAAGGAAATGATAATTAAATTAAAAAGTAAGGTTTAGAAGCATAATCAGGAAAGAATATCCACTAATAAGTGATTCATATCGTTTCTTTCGATGGCAAAACTTCACCTAGTTTTGAGTAGTACAGCTGACTTGCTGTGGCCTCCAAGTAAATTTTCTCAGAAGAGCATGGTTTTGGCCAATTTAAACATCTTATATTGGGCTTTGATTGAATAAAACTTTTAAGTTAATTATGATGTATATTATTGTTATAGGCTGAAAGGTCGTCAAGGTTAAAGTTGAGAATGGCGAATATTTTTATTTGACGATTTACTTTATTTACATGTTTATGCGCTTATCAAACCCGAGGTTAACCTCGCTTTGCAAGGCGCGTGCCCGCGGCGTTCTTGAAGAGTCTTTGTTCCACAAGCGTTGTGTGCGTAAAAAACAGCCATTAACTTATTCGCAGATTTTTGTCGCATTTATTATGCTGGGTTGCACAACATCTGTCAGAGTACAATATAACGTTATTACTGTGAGCCCCATAAGAAACAAAGAAAAACCGTGGTATAATATCATGCATAACATATTTCATCTTCTAATGTAACGGTTGAAGTGATATACCAGTACGTGTTTGCAAGATAGTTTCCGTATTATTAAATCTCAGGTATGTTTAGCGACATTTTTCATTATACGCTTCCATTCACTTCCCCAAATAATACTAAAATTTCTAATTTGAAGTTTTTTCATTGAAATTTTGGATTTTATTTTCAAATTCGACCGGGATGGATTCGCGTGAGACGTCTCTAACTTATACACAAATAAACAGATGATTTTTTTTTTATCTTCATGACCATCTATATCAATCCTTTATTTAGTTTGGTTACAGAATAATAAATCGTTGGTCGCAAAACGAGCCCGTCCGGTATTTTTTTTCTCTCTACGCACTGACTTTGAAAATAATTGCCTTTAATATTGACTTTCATGTGTCCTGTTTGGAATTATACACACGGTATACTCCGATCTGTCTTGATATACTGATATACGCGCTTTGATCGCGCATCCCTTCAGTAAGCCATGTTTAGTTGTGGGAAATTTTGGTTTATGAATAAATGCCGCACCTATATGACGGGAACGGATTTGGTGAAACGATTTTATATGTTATTTTGAACATGAGATCTGATACTGACAAGTCAGTTTTGCTTTTCAAAATCGCTGCGGGGTTTAGCCTCAAAATACAATGAAAGGTTCATAACAATTTCGTTGAATATATCCGCTATGATAAAAATGTAGTAAAAACTTCTAAATTAGGAAGAGCCTATATTTCAAATTATTATTCGAAGAATGTTTGTTTATGTGAGTTTCTCTTGAATTTACGATTAGCGTGTATAGTAGACTCAGTTACACTGTATGGTAGGTACAGTGGCGCAGCCAGGGGGGGAGGGGGGGCAGGGTCGACCCCCCTTTAGAATTTTCTGAAAAGTGAAAAAGTTGCCGATAACACGTGTAATTGTCTTCTGCTAAAATCCCCGTTCGTTTTCATCAACGCGGCGTGTTATTTATGCCGTGAACGCCCTTCACATTGGTGTTTATTCTCTTTAAATCACAAATTTGTGCCGCGGGAACAATGATAATTATTTTATTTTTGTACTCGCACGGAAATGTGAAAACTGAAAAAGCGTGCAATTGCTTTCTGCTAAAATCGTCCATGTTTTCATCAGCGTGTTATTTAGGCCGCAAACGCCCTTACGTCGGTTTTTATTCTTTCTAAATCATAAATTTGTGCCACGATAAACATGATAATTATTTTATTTTTGTACTTTGCACGGAATTGTGAATTCGTGAGTTATTATACGTTCATCGGTGGCGAGGTTCTAAAAACAAAAGAAGGAGTAAAACCGCGATCTAAATTTGATTGAAAAGCGGAATTATAAAATACTGAAAATAAAACCGTAAACAATATAAGTTTTGTTGGGTCCCGCGACAGTCTAAAAACGCTTTTCTAGTCGCAAAATCGCAAAATTTCGTGTGCCTACGGCGCAAATTATGTTTGGTCGCCGTTTAGGAACATACCGTCAATAAAATCGAAACACGGTTAATTGTGGTGGGATTTGCCTTTTATCCATTACTTTAAAATTGTCGTAGAAAATGTTAGTGTTATCATGAAACAAGGTTGAAAACGCGATTTTTTCCCGGTTCGTGATGATATTTAAATAAGATAATTAATCCGAAGTATATCCATCAATTTTTATTGTACTGAAATAAATTTTACTCCATGAGAATTTACAGCAGATTTACGGATTATTCAGGAGGTTTTATCTTTAAAAATAATCGGAGTGTCAGCATTGCGATTGAACGGAGTCAATGTTACAAGCACATCTCAAATTTGTCGAATTTGCAAAATAGAAAAAATACGGATCAAAACAATATATAATAGGCGACGGGCAATTACCACAAATTTTTATGTCGGCAAATGGCCGAGGTATTTTAAAATTGTGACTTATAAAAAATTGTTTTGTTTTGTCGACGCAAACGCTGGTTAAATTGAAGACAATTAAATTAATAAGGCAAGACATTTTAAATATGGCCTTATCGGTCAGAATTGATTACTTTGCACAACAGAAAAATCTTTTTTCGTTGTGAACGTCGGCTCTTTTAATAAGTGGCGTAATCGCGGCGATGAATATGTATTTTTGATTTAACGATATACTTCATATGCATTTTCATTGTACGAAATAAAATTGTATTTTTCGGGATTTTATATCAGTTATTGAGATTTTTCTAACGGCGATAACGAGTTGGCAAGATTCCAAAAATACGTAATAAAATTAAATACACCGTTTATCTCATATTTTTATGTCCACCGATAGCCGTGGCATTTCAGTGAAGAGTGAACTAATGTTTTAATTTTGACCTAAGAAGAAGCAACCGCGAGTTACGTTGGCACAATTAAATTAATATATAAAGACATTTTAGAATTTTGTAGTTGTCAGGGATTGAATATTTCACGCGACAAGAATAATCATTATACGCTGAAAAGATGTCCCTTTAACGAGCGCGTAATGCGAAGACTGTTACAGACCGCAATGGGAATTTATGATTATGAACCCCCCCCCCCCCCCCCTTTTGAAAATCCTGGCTGCGCGCCCGGGTAGGTAAACTGTTGTATGGTAAACTGTTGTATGGTAAACCGTTGTGGTCATGGATGAGAAGATTTTTAGATTTGCTTCAAATCACGTAATGATTATTCGAAACTGGCACAGCTTTGTGTAATGTGATGCGACTATGGGGATTGACAAGATTCAGTGGACTAAAAAGCAAACACACACATGGGTCAGTTCTGGAACAGTAGAACGACTGTGCTTCCGAACAGCGTGTATTTTATTCCAAAATAACTTACTCCATCGCTGAAATGTGAAATGTATAGAAAACAAGCCAATATCCTGATCCTAATAAATCGATGTGTTTGGAATCCATAGAGCGTGAAAATTGGTTTTAACGGTGCCACTAGTGCGGACAAATAGATATTAAAAGCTTTTGAATGAAATAATGCCATCCACAACGCCAACTCGACAAAGTATTAGAATCGGAATTTTTCTAAAAGGTTTGCAAAATTTAGTATTCGAAATGTGCTATTGGTGAATCATGTTTGGTTGCCTGATGTGTTTAATATTTTACTTCAACTTTGGTACCTTTTTGATGCTGTTGATAATATTATAACGTACAGGCAAGGGAAACGTGTTGGCATTCGAATTTACATGGAAAATGATATTCGTCTGATTATACATTTTGCTCTGAATATAACATCTGCCCAGCGAGAACAATAATGACCGTGAATAGATAGTTTGGAAAAGACGAAAATTCTGGTCCAAATTAAATTTTAATCTTTAACCTCAAAGCCCTGATTCGCATTGCTATCAAGGTTCTTTAGTTATTTAAAACGGCATCAGTGAAAATCATGAACAGAATTTTTTTTATATCGCTTTCTTGAAGTTCACACACAATGTGAATAAACGATGAGTTTTCGATATGAATCGCTTTTTTATCAGATCGTAGAATTTCTTTGCAAAATATCGGCGTCGACTTATAAGGCAAGTGCTGATCGGCCTACAACTTACTTCAGGAAATAGCATTACTAATGGGTAGTTTCTATCATAGCTATGTCTTATAAAAATTTCTGAATTTTAGAATATTTCAACATAAAACTCACGGGTGATCCGGTATTTCCTAGTGCCCCTGGTTCACCTTTTGTGCCGTTTATACCCTGTAAAAATAGACATTTTTTCAATTTTTAATTCAAAGGTTCCAATTCGAACTGATTTTTGGCATAAAACTTAGATAAGATTCGTGTTTTCTTTTGAAACCAAATGATGTAATAATTTAAGGAAAGTGTAACTGTTTCATAACAAATTTCAATTCGTTGCATTCATCTTAACAATAAAAAGAGAGTGGAATATGCTCGCACCAGCGAATAAGCGCTAACTAGTCTACGATATTTTCTTTAATTTTCATCAGATGTTCACACACAACACATACCACGAACTCGATAACCATGCCTGGACTAACAAGACTTGTATAGACGGGTATGATCATGATTATTTGATACTTTATCGGTGCGACATAATTTTCACCCTCGGGGCGAACGCAAATTTCCGTCACCCTGAGATAAATTACTACAAGGCGATTTTGGTCGAGATGATTCTTTTGATAAAAAAATGGTAAAAAGTAATGGAAGTTGGTATCAATTTCACAAAATTGTTCCGACGACAAATTGATACGTACGTCTCTTTAACTTAGCGCAACTTAATTCAGTGGCGAAGGCCGTGACAAGCACGCCTAAGTGAATGTGTCAGATTTCAACCGGGTCTTTCGATCAGCAATTGGCAATATGTTTATCAGTATTCAAAGGGAATTTTATTCATGTTTTTACTTGATAAATCGCGGCGAAATAAAGCATGGTAACAAAACAAGTCTGTTGTAACAAGTAAGAATATTTGCAACCTTGTCATTTTCAACATTACAGCTAGCAGGTACCTTTGACACTCTTTTAGCACTAAGGTCGAAATTACACAAAAATATTCATTTTGAATGATTTTATATGCGCGAATACAAATTGTTAACTTTTGTGCTTCGAGCTGATCTCAATCATTTAATCTCTAGAATGACTCATTCTAAAAATGTTAAATAATTTCAAAATATTTATCAGGCATAACACCAAATATTTCTGAAGGATTGCCGCTCAGACTGCATCTATCGTCGGGGTTCGGTCTAATGATTGCATAAACAATGGACCCAATCGCGCTTTGGAGAAATATATACGATTATATATAATAAATAACACGGAATGCGAGTTGCAATCTCTATTCTAAATAACAAGGGAAAAAACGGTGGTAGTTATTCAAAGGGTCGACGATTTCCCGCCGTTTTCCATTGGGATCCAAAATTTCACAAAACAAGCGAAAATCGCGAGTTCGATCAACCCACAATCGCTCCACGTCCGGCACATACAACATTTTACTCGAAGCATCAATTCCGAATCTTTAGCCTTTGTTCTGTGCCACGGTTTAAGCAAGTATCCGCTACGAAAAGCAAAAGTCACACAAATTCGACCCTGAGCATGTAAGTTAATACTATTAACCCTTAACTTACCCTCTGTCCAGGCACGCCCGGCTTTCCTGGTTTCCCGCGAAGGCCAGCATGTCCCTGCAAAATAATACATATAGCAAAATCGATAAAGATAATTGAAATAAATGGTTCTAAATACGGGTAGAGCCTTCAAAGCAAATGTTGAAGATAGTTTCCCTCATGGGTTATTGCCATAAACTCGCTTACATTAGTGCGTGAGAAAAGCTGTCAACCGTAAAATCGCGACGTGGACGGTATAGTTGTAATATATTTTAGCTCGTCTGTGATAGAAAGACATTTTACGCCGCATAACGAGATTTCCAATACGAGACTATTTGAACACAAAACAAATCAAAATTTGACAGAACATAGCCTAATTTCGTTTCGGAATACTGTATACATTATTATTATTACATTATTATGTGAAAAGGAAATATCAGATTCGATTTATTCATAAAGGTAACTCATATAACTGAATTAATGTATTATTTAATTAAAAAATTTGAAGTGAATTTCAATAAAACCTTAACTTGAGAGAACTCCACATTCATACTATTTTACAAAAGTTTTCGAACGTTTTCGTAAATGCGGTGAACAATTATCACAGTTGCGTAAAATATAGTATTAATTACTTCCAGTCTAGCAAATTTTAATTAGAGAGTTTATTTTTCGTGTCCCAAAATATCACAAGTTTTCGTACCTCCAATCTTATAAAATATTCTGGTGGCACAGTAGACATAGAATCCCACACATTCTATTGTATTCGTTTAAAAAAAACGAATAGTGTAAACTACATCATAATTTTGGTCGGTTATTGAAATCGAAAAGATGTCTGGTTTAAATTAGAAGTTGTGATGACAGATAATCCATAATATTTAAAGTTTACCGATACACACTAAATTTCAGTTGTGGAGTTATATTTATATGAAGCCGATCATATTCGCTACACTACCATGATATTTTAAATTTCAAATGCAACACCAATGATTCTTCAACGTTACCAATGTAAGTAAATGCTTATGACTCTTACCAGTTTTCCGCGGTCTCCATCGGGCCCTCTTGGTCCTGATTGTCCTCTCGGTCCCTTCAAAATGGATTGAGGAAATGAAAAAAATTACGAATACGTAGACGAAAACGAAACGAAAAAACCAAAGGCTTAGCTTCTTACGCGCGAATGAAGCACAAAAGCCAGGGTTTAACGATAATAGCTTTGGGACGAAAACGTCTGTTATATAAAGATTGGTGGACGGAGAAAAAAAGCAGCGATACAGTGATATTGCGTTGAGCGGTAATGTGTTCTCGTGTCTCTTTTTTTTTTCGTTGCTGCTACCTCTCACATGGTCCATAGATAGAGCAAGCGTGTTGGGGGTTTAAATTCAAATATATATATATATACTGCTTATGAGGGCTAGAGACTATCTAACCGGATATGAAATCCATTGTAACAAGCGAACATTTATCACTTCTTTTACATTTCAGATCGGATTAACCCTTGTTGTTTAACGTAATATATCATTTCATAAGGAAAAAGGAGATTATTTTGTAGAAAATATCTATAAACTATTAAAAGTATTATCGTGGTTTAATAATGAGGGGGGAAAATGGCGACCTCCGTTAATATTTTGTGCCGTCTAGTAAAGGGTTAAAATGAAACTGACGCAAGTTTGTTGCCACGTAAACGCGTAGTAACGCGTTCCCACATTATTTAAAAGTTGATAAAATCGCTTAAAAGTTTGTCGTTGGGCACTTGAGCAGAACAAAAAATAACAATATTGTCGATTTTATTATGTCAAAACCCAATACAATACATATGTATATACTTTGTGGTATTATGTCGAGGTTTTGTGATTTTTTATGTGCCTTTGAAAATGTAGATTTTCAGTTGAAACGATAAGCAAATATAAGTAAGACTTACTTACCTATGAAAATCAAACAAGTCTGAATAATACATTGATCCAGTGTTTTAGAAATAGGTATCTAAATTGAATCTGTTTGCATATTTTTGCGTAATGAATGAGGTAATTTGAAGTGCCACCCTTAAGTTTACATGCGACGTCGACATACATACAAGTTAAATCTAAGTTTGATATTTGTAAAATTCTAACTTACTGCATATCCTTGATTTCCTTGTTCGCCGTCTTTACCCGGATGTCCCATAGCACCCTGTGTGATAAAATATGGCGGTAAAACAACATACTTTGAAGGCTTGGGAATCTTATAAGACCAGTGGCTCAGGCGGTGTTGGCACTTTTGCAAGAATTTCAACTGATCAATTATTCGCATTAACTGAAAAAACAGATTCTCGGCAGCCAAGCCTACAAATTAGTCAACACTCAACATTGGTTCGATCGGTCACCGAATCAAAGTAAATACTATCACAGACATCCAAATGAAATTCTCGAATGTTGAATGAGCTAAATAACTTTAGAGTTATCAAATGTTATTTAATAGCTCGTCTTATCTACGCGAGTGCTTGACTGGATAAATTAGGTTCCGGAAGTTGCCGCACATAGCGACAATTTAAATACGACAATCCAAAAATAAGTATATTTATTTGGAACTTAAAAGGGCGGAACCCTGAATTTGGAATTTACAAAGAATATTAAAAGTATAAAATTACTGCAATTTCGGTCATTTGTGCGTCGCTTCACGTGGGTACCCTAAGTAGGCCAGTAACACAAACATATTACTTTAAAAAATAAAGCGATCTATACCTGGAATAGAGTTGGTTAAGTTTCCAACATTATTTGAAACTTTACCTGAAAATCAGCTACCTTTACCATATTTTTAATAGTAAGCTAGATGTATTCCCGTTTTACCGGTAATTTTGTAATTTCTACTGGCGGGTCATGAAAGATGCTATCGTAGAATCGTGGATTTTTATAACGAACGGAACAAAGAAGCAAAATACTGTACTAGAGATATCATCGCTAAATTGATCGCATTTGAAATTGTATAACGCCGGAGGAGCGGTTCCCTGTGTCGTTCGTCAACAAAATTTTGACGTGAAATTATATTTTCGGTGAAAAGTTTTATATGATTCTCTAAAACGAACACAGTTTTATTAATGGCCGATGTGAAATCAAACAAATTTCGTTAAGAACAGCTCTAGCTTTAATCACTATGATTTAGATAGCTGTTGCAGAAAATTGGCACTAGTGACGTGATACATCGACACGCGACAGTGCAGTTAAAATTTCTAAAATAAATAAATTTTTGATATATATAGTTTAAATGAAAAAATACGACCATTTTACGAGCAAAATGAAGAATCCAGCAGAATAGCACGCCATATTTTGCTACAAATGTATGAAAACAACAAGGAGCGTACATAAATTCTACGCATCTAATCGCAAGGTACTGCCCGTTTTTAATAAGATTATCGACCAAAAGACATTTTTTACGCTATCACGCTATAACAGGAAAAATCAATTTGATTTATTTCACCAAATTCAAACAAATAACTTTTTAAATTATTCCCACCCAAAAAAGTTAGAATGTAGTGTTTCACTGGACTCGAAGGGAGCGTATAATTCAGGTGGGAGTAATCTTATATTTGTGATATGAAAAATTTAATCGAATTACTAGTTGCTAGTTTGTCAACGTTACTACATTTTGTCAAATATTAATATAAATAACTCAACAGTATAGCAACCGATAAATACTGATTTTTCACAAGAAAAAAAAAACGACTGAAAATTGTTTTTGTTTAAACAGGATACCGTGATGAGATCTGATTCAAAGAGCAGAAACTCTCAGGCACATTTATTCGGAATTTGATATGCGTTTAGTTTGAATACAACGAGCGTTTCGTTGTTTAAAGTAAGGACATGGGATTTGGAAATTAAGTAAAAACCAGAATGAGAATGAAAATTTATCATATTAAAAAATTATGATTACAACCAATACAGTACTAATGAATTTTGCCTCCTCTTTAACAAAATGCTGGTCTATGCAAATTTTTCATAGGTAAATATTAGTATATAAGATAAGATATATAAGATTGTATGTGAATAGAGGTTGCATAAGGTTTTAATTCTGAAATTTGAGATACACTTGCAGCATTCGTGACAGCTGTATTGATGTATTTACATATATAATTTCATTTTGCTGACGAACAGCGATAGTACCGATACTACCGAAGAGGATATTTTGATCATAAATTATTTGATGAACTGAGAATCAGTGCTTGCGTTGTTTCGTACACTTACCATATCTCCAATATTTCCACGGGTACCTTTTGCACCAGGTTCTCCAGAAATACCCTGAAATAATATTTTACAATGACGTCACCAATTACAATTTAAATGCGTACTAATTTAATTACGTTTACTATACTATATTAATCATTATAGTTGGCTACAAATGATTACAATATTGAAACGTCCTTGAATGCTCGAGACCACAGCTTGTTACTCCAGTAATTTCACTCACTTTCACTCCCATTGTGCCTTTCTCGCCTTCTCGACCGGGCGGTCCAAGAAACCCCTTCAAAAAACGTAGGGTTGTTAGATTTTTTTAAGATTTGAAATCATAATTAAAAGTATGATAGGGACAATATACAGACAAGAGGCTAACGGTTTTTAATTATCGCATTGTCGCTCAATACAATTTGACCATGATAGTTCATTTATCAAGATTTATTTTAAAAAGTTGTGAAAGGTATTTAAAATTTTTAAAAAGTTGTGAAATTGAATTTAAAACAAGTTTGTATCGATTACGATGGCAGGCGAATATAACTATCAGGTGTACAACTTTTGTTACTCTACTCTGCATTACTAGAAGTCGACTGAAATTGATAAGATACCATTCAAAGTAGAAAACATTTTATTGAAATATTTTTATTTACCTGAAATCCTTTCAATCCGATTGGCCCTCGAACACCTTCATCCCCAGGAGGACCCTGAAATATTACAAAATGGAATAATTGTGACATCGACCTTCATCAGCACCATCAAATTTTTCAATGATCGGATTGGGTTTATCACATGCACAGATTATTTAAAAGCATACACATTCATATCGGAAGAATTTGTTGCCCAAAATCAATGAAACAATAGAAGTAAATATTAGGCTCAAATTTCTAAAACACGACACATGTACATTGGTAGCTCTGGGTTAAATTAGTTTCAGGTTTTGTCAATAGAGTGAATAAAAGTGGGTGCCTCATAAAGAGTTCAACTGGCTTCTATTCGAAATATTGGTCCCTTACCTGTAAACCTCTATCACCACGTTTCCCTTTCAAACCTTTCAATCCTGATTCCCCTTCTGTGCCTTTCTCACCGGGAACTCCAGTCGGTCCGCGCTTGCCTTTTTCGCCCTAAAGTAAAATTTATATTTTCATATGATATGCGTCAAGTACAACATTATTAGATTTTCAGTCCGTTCAAATAATCAAAAAATCTCATCGATTTCATTGAAAATACAAAACACACAAACAATGAAAATGTCGTTTTCACGCCTGCACATCTTATCAATACTTTCATTCTTATTTTATATAAAGCAATATTTGGATTGATATCAGAACGTTAGGCTCCGATATTTTCGCGATTGCGCTAAATTATCACTACAAACAAAAATACATTCATAAAATATATCGTAATGAACACTCAATGTTTTGAAATGACTGAAATCTCGAAATACGATTTGTTCAAATATGCAATTTTTAGTATAATTAATAATATCAAATAAAATGAATAGAGGTCGTGAACACATTTTAATATTCCACTGAAAGTGAATGACGTCGATGTTTCATTATTTAGTATTATCGATGTGTATCGCGCATTATGCAGTTTCATGTTTAGTAAAAATGTTAAAAGGTTTCATTTCGTTGGGTTAAAATAGGTATGACTTATTTCTTCTTAAAACATCTGTTAATGTTTTTTTCAAAATATTTGGGGAATAGGTTATCGGTGACATCAATACACTAAAATGGTTTACGGATGTAAAAATAAAACTCTACTAGCTCAAATATATTTATAAATATGAATGATACCTTTATGCCAGGCAGACCATTTGGTCCATCAGAACCGGCTTTAAGTTGTCTTCCCTGGAATACGAAAAATAATTTTTGGTAAAATAAGCCACAGAAATCTAACTGTGAAGAGATGGTTTTCTAGTTTATCAAAGTTTAAAATGCCGATGGAGGTTATTCCACTTCATGAATAAAATTTAAAATTCACCATTGCCCAAAACAATATAGAAATAAGTTCATGTGCAATTGATAGGGCTGGGTTAACCGCAGTGTGACGTTTGTATATTTCGACCGAAAACTGATTCTGAATTTATCATTGTCAAACGTTCATAACTAGCGATCTTGTTACTTCAATTGTTTTTCACATTTATTGGGTCCTTACCAATACAGTTAGTGATATTCTTTTAATTAAACGCAACAGAATATATTTTCGATGACGCAATAATTTTTGAAAAAATTTTACATTATAAAGAGGATTTGTACCTGAGAATTGAGATGTCAGGTAACGGTTAAAATAAATCCTAAGCGTTAAATAAAAACTAGATTAAAATTTCACAACTTGGTATTTGGTGTGCTGATTTTTAAAACGTCATACTCATACTTCATATTTGTATTTTACAAGCTGTTGTACGAGTTCGTCAACGTGCAACATGGCTACTTTGAAATATTACATTCGGGGATGCCACTTTTGGATTTATGAATCGAATCGATTCGAATCGCATTTTTTTCGAATCAATTCGAATTAGATTTGCGCGATTCGGAAAAAGAGAGCGATTTGCAAAAAGAACAAACATTGACAAACAACGCATCACGCAGGCCAAATATTGTTTATCTGTATTGACATCCCCATCCCAAGAAAGACGATCATAAATGTGTTGGCAGATTTATTTACCGCAAAAGTCGAATACAAAAACAGTATTAGGTACTCACTCTCGGTCCTTGGTAACCCTGTATTCCAGGCGGACCGCGTTTTCCAACGTTGCCCTGCAATCAAGAGTAAGACATTGCTGCATTGTTTTCATGGACATATCTCCACCGTACTTATATTTACAGACAAATTTAGTTTTTTCTATTCTAGTTTTATGAGTAAATTCCCTTTTTGAAGGAAACCATTATGTCTATGCAGAAATATCCTACTCGTAATATAACATGCTAATGTATGTTTGTGGCATCACAAGTGGTCGAGTAAGATTTGATTTAGGACTTGTCTGTGACGTATGGTTTTACTAAGCGAGCAAAAATGGTGTTGCTGCTAACGAAGCAAATGGCATAAAAAGTAACCAAATGTCTTTAGAAGTTAACAGAAAGACTGAACAACCCAATACTAAATATTCTCGTCATCATTGTTTCAAAAGTCACAAAAATTAATTTCACTGATATAATAACTGTCCTATTTTACAGACCGTGTCACCAGGATCTCCTTCGTTGCCATCTTCTCCCGGTCCTCCAGGATCTCCTTTTACTCCATCTTTACCATGCACACCTGGATCCCCAATTGTTCCAGGAGGTCCTGGTGGACCTTCTCTACCAGGTATACCAGGTGGACCTTGTTGTCCTTTCTTCCCCTATGGTGAAGTAGAATTAACGTGTATAATAATTTTAGCTGCATGTCAGATCGAGTCTGCGTAAGTCAATTTCTCTAATCCAAACGATTCCGGCCAATGAACTCATTCAATAATAGTTCTCTTCAAATATACACAAAATATTACACTCTGGACGAAGTTTAAATTAAATTTCAATCAAAATTAAATATTTTCTAGAAGTCGGTAGCTGATTATTTATCCAATCATGCCAGGGCGTACCATAACTTAGTCGCAGCGCAGGTGTGCTGTTGAAATTTTTAACCCCGCCGATAACAGCGATTTAAATATGTTTCAGTACGTCTGCCCAGTACGAAATGACCCAGTACGAAAGAACAACATGGACAATTCGTTGCAATGTGTGATACATTGAATAATTGGGAAAGCAACATATAAAGTAATACCAAAGAAATGTCTCTTCAATATTCTGTTTTATATATTATAATCGTACAAACCACCAACCCTTGGTCCATTTTCTCCCGGTGTTCCGGGTTTTCCCTCGAGTCCGTCAAGTCCTTGGAAATTGGTAAAAATGTGGTTGACATCACATCAGAGAATGAAATTTGGTTTGGAAATGCCCAAAGGTTTTATACCGACCAAGAAAGTTTTCCCAAACACGTCAACTAACCAAAGGTTGTGTAAACTGGAATATTTACTTGTCGAAGCCAGTTGAAGTATGTATGGATCATGATAACTGTTACATATGAAAATGCACAGTATAAAATCATGAATTATTTTAATCGCCTAGGGATATGAATGGGGATATATGATTTCAATTAATATTTGAATTGTCTCCGAAGAAAGCTATTAGTTCACCGCACAAACAGCAGCCATACAAGCTATGGCCAATCAAGACAAACTCATTTCTGTGGAGTGTGGAGGGTAGACCATTGCAAGATTGACCTTTTTGTGAATTTGAAATAAAAATTTATAAAGTACATATACAGAGTGGTAACTAGCACCCGAACATTATCGTTCATAAATTAATAAAAGAACTCACTATTTGGCCTGGTTCTCCTGCGTTCCCTTCTACTCCAACTATTCCCATATCTCCCTAAAAGAAGACGGTAGTTTGTATAAACTATTGCATTAACGTATCATTTTGTTACGTTTTTCATGTGATTTCAGATGCATTTATTTACTCGACAACCTAATTAGAAAAGTAGCCCTACAAGTTCTCCGAATCGCAGCTTCATTGAATCCCACAATAAATATTTTTCTGATAAGAACGAAATGTTTGCTTGTACATCGTGTTGACATGAGAAAATCGGTCTTACCGGATATCCGATCGTTCCTTTGTCGCCGTCTGGTCCTGTCTCTCCGTTTTCACCCTGTAATAATTGTTTTTAAGTTGATAAGAACCAGAGGTGTGCATATAAGTCTTAGTAGTTTTGAAATAAGTTGCAGGGTAGAGCTACATCACTACTCGTATAAAGCGAACGTCATTGCATGCCACATGCATGTATATTCTATAAAATATTTGTGTGGAACGCCAACGACTTGGGCGTTTTATCGAAACTGGTCAAAACTTTATTGCAGACACAAACGGTTATACGAATATTGCACGAAGAGAGATACAATATAGCCAATAGGCGTGTTCAAAACGATTTTAAAACTTATCTATCTAAATAAAATTTTTAATTGCAGTTAACATACCGGGTAGCCTTTGGGTCCAGGTTCTCCAGGCTCTCCACGTTCGCCAGCAATACCAAACATTCCTTCTGGTCCTGTATCCCCAACCAGACCACGTTTTCCTTCGTCTCCGTTCTCGCCTTTCGGTCCAGGTGGCCCTCTCGGTCCCTACATGTATTTATTTAAAGTTGAAAGCGACAAATTTTGCTCAAATCTCACATTAAAAACAATTTCAAATCAACATACCATATTGCCCATTTCACCTGGCTTCCCTGTCGGTCCAGTCACTCCTGGTGGGCCCTAAAATCGTTAAGATAGCAAAATAAGCATTCAGAATATTTTGAAGAAAAAAGCTACATAAAGCCATTAGCTTAGTTTTTATCTTTCCATAGGAGGTACTGCCATATTATCTATTTTTGTGTTAAAACCATAAGAGCTTATTCATTATTCTTACCATAAGTCCTGGGGCACCAACGACGCCAGGTAACCCCTGTATACCACGATGGCCCTGGAGTAAAAAAAAATGTAGATAATGTATTTCCAAAACTAAATACATAGATTTTGGTGTATGTGTATAGCAGATAGCTTATCATTTCAATAGGTGTTTATATGAGATTCTCATTGCGTGTTTATTTGTTGAATTCATTAGATGGGCATTGGCATCTATTGTTTTGAATATATTCTATAAAAATCTTATTGCGTAAGTATAGGCCACTCTATTATGCATTATTATTTTAACATTATTATATCTCCTTTTTTTCTCTACAATGAAAAATATTTAGATAGGAAGGATTTTGAATGATGACTATGTGATTCTATGAAATCCAATCTTGAAAAAATGAATAATGAACCAACTAACCGTGGGCCCCTTATACCCGAGTGGACCTCGTTTGCCCTGCTCTCCTCTGTCGCCCTTTAAAATAAAACGGAGTGCTAAGATTAGACTGCCCTGAAACTGGTGATTCATCGAAACAACCACCAGTCACAAAGAGTTGTAGTGAGAGTGTGTCTAACAAACAGACTATTCCAATATACATCATTTTCCACTGACGATACCATTGTAATCTATTTGTTTAGTGTATTGATAGCATCTATGTATATAGTTTTGTAATACGTTGATCTCGTCGAATTGGATTCTCTAGAATAATATTAGGTAGAAACATTTTCCACCCTTGTATTTGGGCGTAAATCACATCTATCACATATCTGGTTCTCATTGAAGATTGCAAGGTTGGCAAGCAATAGTGAAATGTTATTTTTGTATATATATATATTAATCGATCTGCCAACAGTTTAAGCAAACCCAAATTGAGAATTCAGAATCTTTTATCATTGGAAGTCAATACTTTCGTTTTGATTACTCAAAACAGTTTATTTTGTGCTTCACTGTTTCTAGAGACTAAACCGGAAAATAGCATACCTTGAAACCTTCAAATCCGGACATCCCACCTGAACCTGGAACTCCTGGTACCCCCTGAAATAGTTTAAATGTAGTTATTCAAATATATTATTATTTATTATTACTAGAATAACAGGCCTTTCATCAAGGCATTCAGCGTTGAATCAATAACATCGAAAACAAGGAGATTAGAATGGAACATTACCTTTGGTCCTATTTCTCCAGTTCGTCCGGGTTCTCCAGGATAACCCTTAATAAAGTAAGACCATAATAATTATCACGAAATCATTAGTCTAAGTAGGCTAAGGCACACAAATGAGCATTTTTGGCCAACCAATATGGGCGTTTGTTGATAGTGACATGACCAAATTGTAGCAATACCTTTAATTATGTTATAAATTTATATTTTAAATGCAACTGCCAAGTATATTATTGAAATACTACCATATTGCAAAAAGCACTAATTCCAGCAGCGTATGGTTTATGATCCACGATTTTGAATTGGCACAATGTGTTATTAACATATTATACCTTCACACCGATATATCCAGATTTTCCTTGAATTCCAACCTTTCCTTTTTTGCCCTGAGAAGCAACGCAACAATATAATTAATCATATTTTTCAGGTTACTAATATTAAAACTTGAACTTGAATGTGATACCAAAACGATAAAGGTGGCAAATATCCCATCGAAATGTCCTCCCGAGTAATAAAATTGATTTCAAGAATGATTTCTCTCGATTAGTCAATTGCTTCAGTAGAATAGCAGACTAACAGAGAACATTCTGTCCACCATGACAAAATTATCTATAAAAGTTTCCATTGTTTTACTTAATCAAAAGACATTTTCATCGACTTTTCTTAAAATCTGCATTTATCAACGGTTAAAATTATATTGCAACTGGTAAAATTGAAGTTTAATTGCATAAGTTGAAAGCTCTCATAAAGACAGTCAACTATTCTGTTTTCAGTTTACCTTTTCTCCAACCGTTCCATTTTTTCCATCTAAACCTGGACTTCCCTGAAACAATAAAAGCAAAAAGTTATTTCAAATAGAAAAAAACTTGATATCATCGGCATTCCACTCACTGTTTAGCATTGTAAAATACCCGATTGAAATTGGCTGTCATATCAACCTCTTTATTGCTAATACGACTGGAAATTGAAATGGTTTATCATTTTGTGGAAGTTCACTAAAGCCAGTATCACACGCATTTATTCTTTGGTTTTATAATAGTATATTACATAGATGGCAACTACGTTTCATACCACTTGAATACCTGGTTTCATAATGACTTAAATGCATAAAACTAAAAAGAAAACTACGATTTTTATTCGTACTGGTAATCCGCGTCTTCCGTGGTATCCTCTTTCTCCTCGATGCCCAGGAAAGCCCTGTATATATAATAGTTGTGTTTAGTTACATGGAAATACTCTATTTCGAAACGTTGTTAATTTGTAAACAATAATCAATTGTTACTTATAAATGTAAATCTGATCATTGATCTATACGATATGATAGATGGTAAAATTGATGATTGACGCAGCAAAAAGCCAAGTCATAATCTCAACAATAAATAAACAATAATCAATTGTTACTAATAAATGTAAATCTGATCACTGATCTATACGATATATGATAAAATTGAGGATTGACGCAGCAAAAAGCCAAGTCATAATATTCTAAAATGATTTGTTTATCCCCCCCCCCTAAAAACGCGATGGCATGAAATAACGCTTTCTTCGTGTTTGCTCCTTTTTCAGAAATTTGGGAATGAGAATTACACCAGAGCAACGGAGCAAAGTACATACAATAATTTAGTTCAACTTACTTTTTCGCCAGGAACTGAATCACCTCGATTTCCCTCATGACCTTCGTAACCCTGAAAGGTGTGGTTAATTATTTTCAATTGTCATATAAGAGCAATTAGATGAATAATAGTATAAATCGTTTAAAATACACAATATTCAAATAATCATTTACTGTAGACTCTACATAATGAACGACATAAGATAGTACACTTATAAACACCTGTCAAAATGTTCAGTAATGTTTTGATTATCGAGAATTTTCTTGTTCTGTAGTAACCGCACTGGGCACATGAATGATTTTAATAAATTGATGTTGCTTGAACAAAAAAAAAAAAAACTGGCCTTATTCTTTACCCAGTCGTTTTTAAGAATTAGTAGTTTAATTTCGGTAGTAGGTAAAGTGTCTGCTTTCGGAGGTTATTATATTGATTTTTTCCTGTATATACTTATATTTTCGCCACCTATATGGATTTTCCGCTGATCGATTTCAGCGAGATCATGTTCAAAAAACGACGTTGTTTCGTCCCTTCAACATGATCTCGCCGAAATCGATCAGTGAAAATCCATATAGGTGCATGGCGAAAATAGAAGTATACACGTTACTTTTTTTTACATATTGTTAGAGTAGTTCTGTTCATTAATGTATGTACTATGTATATGGTCTCCTATGTTGCAAATGTAAGTAACGATAAGAAAAAGGTTAAAAGCACTCACTCTTTCAACGCTGAACATAACTAGAATGTCATGGTACATTTGCCTATGCATAAGCATATCATATATGTATTGGGATTGTTATCTTACCAAAAGTAAGTTCATTTACAATAATAGAATATACCAGAAATTGATTATTAAAAACCGACTCTAAACTGTAGTTGTTGATTACAGTGTTTTTATCATCATACAAGTGTTTTTCAGTATTGCAAGAACAATAAAATCACCTTTGGTCCAGGTGCTCCTGGTTCTCCTTGAGTTCCCGGATCCCCAGCTGTTCCCTAGGAAATATTAGAATTCATCAGAACTTAATATAATATAGTCCTATTTTCCAATGCCATATGATTCTGCACAATGATGAATACAGAAACAAAATGGCCCCAAATTTATACGTGTATGTCATCGGTCATCCAGGGTATTCGACAACCTCGACCCACTGCTTCGTGACTTCGTTAAAACTTGAACAGTACATTATCAACATTAAATATTCATTTAATTTAAATTTTGTTGTCTACGAAATTACGCTTAATATTACGGTACAAATATTTAAAAATCTTGACTTTTGTTCCTTTGTTATTGTTTAGTACACAAAACAACTTACGTTTCTACCAGGTCGTCCTGGTTTTCCTTGTGCTCCCATCATTCCAATTTCTCCCTGATAAAACACAAAAAATAGGCTTTGACATGAATAAGATGCTTTAATATCTTGCATATTATGGTGATGCACAAATGATAGTAGCCTTTAGTAGAGTCTAGATAGACTATTCCACAGTAAAACTTCAAGACGAAGAAACTTGTAATTTTAGATTAAAACAAAACTAATACATGAATATTACCGTAAACCGTTTCATTGTAATTAAATAACATACCAAACGTAGAATAAGAAAAATTCAGTCATTAGAAGCAGTGAGTTTAAATTCACTAATACAAATCATTTTATCTGAACCTGATCTCCTTTCGATCCTTTTTTGCCAGTTGATCCACGGAATCCACGGTTTCCCTACCTCGACAAAAATATAACAAAATTTACAGAAGGGTAAGAATTTGTAATTTTCTGATAATAAAATAAATTTCATAATTGCACTTTCACGAATGAAATAAACGTAGTTGGAAATAATGGTACTCCTGTAGTATGCGAACCAATATGGCGGACACCGGAACGTAGTATGTGTACCAGGTTAGTGTTGGGCCATAATTTTATTCCAATTTTCCTTATTCTGGGTATATTACGAGTTCTGGGACTAGCCAAGTGACTCCCGTAGTATTTGTGCCTGAAATTATGGCCTAACCCTAACCTGTTACACATACTACGTTCCGGTGTCCGCCATCTTGGTTCACATGCTCCGGGAGTACCGAAATAATTTATATATAATTTCACGTGTTGATGTGTATAAGTAAAGTAAATGGAACTCTCTGAGACGATGTACAACTATGGACAAGATATTGCTCTTGTATATTTATACAAATAAAAAAGGATTTAAAAATATGAAAGTTTGATAACCATATTTCATGTTTGTCGAAAGTTATATTCACGAATATCAATATATATTTTCCTCAAATATCAGTACTTAATATTAGGTAGTTCACCTTATCACCTTTCAATCCTTGTGGGCCGTTATCTCCTGGAAATCCCTGCAGGAAAGAAAATATTTTATTTGTAATTATCTAATAGATTTTCCAAACTGAACTAAATCGTTTTTCCTACATGTTTAACAGGGAACTGTACATAGAAATTTTCGTTAATAATCGTTTTAAATCATGTTTTACCTTGAGTTCAGAGGAACCGAGTTTTCCTCGAAGACCCGGTGGACCGCGTTCTCCCTGGTAATATAATAACATTATGTGAAAAAGAGTTTAAGGTTTGCTTTAGTTATATGAAATCTAAATGAACGCTCAAGCTACTCACCATCGGCCCTCGAAGTCCAACTTGGCCTCGTTTACCTGAACGTCCCTGCAAATATCAAAAAATTTTCATTAATTTAAATTTCATTGTTCAACAAAAACATTTCTTTAACTTTAAATATTTCAATCATTGTATTGTAGTGATCGATAAACCTTTCCAGTATACCCATATTGAGGGGTAAAAATCAATCAAAACAAAACTTTACTTTTAGGATAGGAAAAGGACCAAATACATGAATATGTCAGTATTCCACTGTGTAGGCACCCTGTGTCAAATTTACGTTCAGCTGTATATTTTATATCTTTTTAATATTTAAACCGAACAGAAACTTAATACCAACTAAGTAAACTCGAGCCTATATCAATAACTTTGTAGCATAAAGTTGATGGAAATTTCAAAGACATTGCCAGAAGAAACACATGTCTAACGGAAAAACATAAGCAAGAATACTCACAGGTTGTCCGTCAATTCCGGGTATGCCATTGGGCCCAGGGTCGCCAGGTGGTCCCTAAGATAAATAACGAAAAATTATCGTCAATTGTTTATTGTTTATTGTTTTGTGAATATACAAAAGCTATAAATACCTGCAATCCTCGAGTACCGGGTTTTCCTTTCATACCTATTTCGCCCTTGAAAAAGGAAAACAGTGAGGTTACCATGCCAGCCAATACTTCGAAGAGATAAGATTTTTGCTAGTATTCAATTAATTACTCACATTGACACCAGGTAAACCAGGAAGGCCTGGTAGCCCCGTGGCTCCGACTTCGCCCTAAATTAAAAATATATATTTATAAATATTAAAAAATGAATGAAGAAATCCCAGTAAATCGCAATGAAATTTCCAAATCATGGTTCTACTCTAAAACATAAATGGTGTTGTTATTGCAATAGGTGAAATTGCTAAAATACATCTATAGACAATATCTGTATTTTAAACTTCGACTTGTTATCGCCTGCCAATTTTCGATATTTATGGCAAACTTTGGTTGTGGACTATATTTTCTTATTTTGGCAATGATTTACTGTATATTGTTCTCCATTCACATGTTTTTTTTGTAAAAAAGAAACAATTTGGAACCAACGACGTATGGATTGATAATATAGTTGACATCGTATGGTTACAGTCAAAATATTAAGTAGAACTGAAGATTTGTAAATATAGTTATCCGTATTGTAATTTTACCTCAGGACCAGAAATTCCGATCCTTCCACTGGGACCTGGTTCACCCTGTCATAGAGAAGACATGTTGGCATTTGTTTGTTGCAATTAAAAATATAATTAGACGTTATGGATAAGTAATTAATGTGGGATTAGTTTATTCCAACCAGAAATAGAAAACGGCGAAGTTCGGGAACTCCTGAAGGGTTGTAAGCCGACAAATTGATACGGATAGATGGTACAAAATTTTTGTTTTGAAATGAAATTGTTCATAATGTTAAGAAATCTAATTTGAAAATTTTTGAACGTATATTTCAGCAACATTATATAATCTTCAATAATGTTAACAATAGAGACCTTTACTAGCTAAACTAAAGACCATGAATGCAATATCTCAATATGTGAATTTGTAGCTTATGTGTATTTCACAATTAACATAACCGGGCTCCGATATTAGACACTCAACTCATTTTAAGCAACTTTTCGTGATTACGGGCAAAAGTTCTTATAACACAAATGTCAATAAAAATAGTGGAAAATTTTTTGAGGTTGATAAATCCCAATACTGCACCTGCCTGCCAGGATAGCCGTTTGGTCCCTTTTCACCATCTCTGCCTTGCGAGCCCTGTTCATAACAAATAATAATGACAATCTTGGAAATGTTTCGGCTGAACAAAATCAATATGATTAAAGACTTACCGGATATCCGGGTGGACCAGACGGGCCATGACCGGCGTCGACTCCCTAAATATCAAATGCAATAAATAAAGCTCATACAAGTTTAGTAGAGATGAAAGAAAGAAGTCTACTATAGAGATAACTTACCGGTAGTCCGACCATACCAGGTTCGCCAATTTGTCCCTTGACTCCCTTGTAACCCTAAACATAAAATTAAAGCTCAACAAATTTAATTTGTGATATAATTAGAACAATATAGTCCATATGTTACAAAAAAATAAATAAATTTCTACCTGCATGCCTATAGGCCCCTTTAGTCCAAAAGCTCCGGAGTGGCCCTTTTCTCCCTATAAAATATCATGAATTATTTTAAAATTAGAATGGCTTCATGGCTTAATTAGTTCGTCAACCAAGTTAAACCTGCAAACTCTATGTGTTTATCATAAACGAAAAGATCAACAAAGGTGTTTGTACAACATATGTGGTCCCCCACAAAGCAACGTTTCCCAAAATTTCAATGTTGTGTTCGCAACAGAATAACTGATGTAACATGAAACAATGTCATGAAAAGTCACACAAATTTACCGAAGTCTCCGTATTTACAAATTTGTATCCATACACCATACACGCAGGGATGACGCGACACCAAATTTGGATAAAATAAAAAAAAACGTCATTGTTATGTGGTCTCAATTTCAGACATATTTATTTACAGTCGTTGTTTTGAAAGCATAAACTTACAAAAACTTAAATCCGAAATAAGATATAAAGTTGTAAAGGATACCACAATAATTAAGGCATGATTCGTTACCGGATTAGTGGTAACATTTCAACGAGTTTAATCCAAAATCCGGAATAAAACTTCATCGTGGCCTAATTGCTCAATTGTGAGCCTTTAACTCCGTGTTCGATGACAAATGCACGCGTCACTTTTTAAATTAAATAAGCAATGGACGTTGGTTCATCACGACCGTTGGGTTGGGCACATCTTTAGAATAAGGACGCGTGATTTTTTTTTTCTTCGAAAATTGACATGCTATCATATTTTAGTTTATTCGCTGCCACTCTGCCAGTATGTTCAACGCCATATCACAGTTTACTATTTCAGTGTCTAGAAAAAGTGACTCCTGAACAATTTTTTCCTAATCGGAACGTTATTAAAGGGTTCGTGTATAATAATTAACTTTCAGCTTCTCAACAACGATAATAAAGTATGGTATTCAAAAACGCCAAATCTAGGTCGGGTTCATCAGGTATAATAGTTGAAAAGCTGGTGAATTTGTGTTTATGCATATTATAACTTTGAGTTTCGATTTTTGACAGTATATTTATCCAAAAATAAGCAAATATCTCAAAAGTTACGGACTCCCAAACCCATTTCAGGCCTACCACCTTCCAGGTGTAAACTTTGACCGAGTAGAGCATACAAAACACAGCACTTTCACTTTATCTTTCATATATACTGACACTGTCAGCTGAAATAAAATACTGATTATACTAACGATTGCTTTGCTGCAATAAGCACATGACGAAGGTTCTTCAGAAAATATGGCAACAAAAAGCCTCAAGTTTTTTTTTGGGCAACTATGATGCAATATCTTGTTGAAACAAGTCAACGAAGTTCAACTACCGAATCCTCTGTTGGTTTCAACGACAGCATATTGCCGTTGGAAAGATTAGACCTGTCAGGAAATTTCACCTAACCTAATGTAGTCAAATCTATGAAAACTGAGATAATTGGTTATTCATAGTATTTCATAAATCACATTACATCATACCTTCTGACCTGGATCTCCTGGTAATCCTGGCATTCCGTAAGCTCCATACATTCCCTGAAAAACAATCGAAAATATATCTTTTGAAAATGGAAAAAAATCAATACAAAACATCGAAAAATAAAAAGCTTACTATTGGTCCTTCTCGTCCAGATCTGCCGGGTCTTCCATTTGGTCCTGGAGGGCCCTTTGAGTAATATTTTAATATAACACCGATAATTATTATATATGTAACTGATACTGATACATGTAACGTTTGGAAATTCTCCAGAATCGCCGATACAGTACTATTTTATGAATCTTTGTATAACTTGTTAGATAAGTCACATAACGTTATGCAGGAGTTGTTGTACTCTCCCCAACTTCTCTTGAGCAAACGTTTTGATAGAAAAAAATCCCACTCAGGGAAATACGATAATGGCAAAACATTGCTTTTCCAGTACAGCAATATTTGGTTAAAAGTACCCACCGGTGGTATCCAAGAATTCATGGCAAGGAAGGACTCATTATCGAATGCTAAATTCAAATTTTACGACTAATTATGGGTGCTATCATGGTTTGGTTATGGGATAATGTAATCTATGTGAACACGAAAAGTGATCAGGAATACTAAATAACATATAAACGCATAAACTTGTATCAAAAAGACAAAATATTATACAAACTAACAGGTGGTCCCACTTCGCCTTTCTGTCCAACAACACCACATAAATACAACTTCGTTTCTTCCTTTTTTTCTTTGGAACTTGGATCTTCACACATCATAAAGGAAGAAGATGACGCAGGTACGGTGTAAGTGAATTGTCCAATCGTGACGTTAATCATGGGCTCCCATGTGATATTGGTTTCATTACTTCTGAGCAAATAAATATGGGACTATCATTATGTTACCAAATTTCAGCACTGCAATTTTGCAATTGAACTAACTCTGCACTCTTATATCAGCAGGACATAATTAACTTTATTACGTCTCAAATACAATCCTGGACAGCTTCAAGTTGAAATCCGGTACTGCAATTCCCGCTTGAACGGACGTGTCTAAATTAAACTAAAGAAAATATTAGTAATTTGTACTAACTTGGTTTCTGTTGCTGCCGTTGTATGATTATGATGGCTTTCTATGATTTGAGGTGTTGTAATATCTACTACACTGCCAGTAGAAATCGGCGTGGTTCCGGTGAACGTATTTTCTTGAGCAGTCTGGTCTTGTAACCAATCGACAGTAGATTCAAGTGAAGATTCAGACGACGCTTCGTCCTTATTGATTTTAGGTGGTATAATTTTTGTGTTGGCAAGAAAATGGATTGAAGTTGGTGTGGTAATCTCGTATTCCTGAGGTAGCACCGTTTGCAATTTTGGCACATGGAGCAAAGGGTCTGACGGTGCAGTTGTTGGCAGCGGTGTTGTTAGTGGCCTTTGAGCTTTCCGCAAAGGCGTTGTATTACTTGGTAAAATAGTCTTTGCATTTTCTAACTGCATGTTTTTAGTAATTTCCTCGTTGTCTGTTCCTTGTGGTGTACTACTCGCCACTAAAACTGAACCTGTTGCAGCCGAAGTGTATTGCGAATGCTTATATTTAAGAACGTCGTCCTCGTCAGACGGACGAAAAGATTTTGAAAGAACTTTTCTTGAAGTAAATGCTTGAGGTCTCCCATACCCTCTGTTATTGCTATATAAATATGGTGAAGATATGCTGTCTTTATATAATAAAGTATTTGAATTAACAGTGTCAACTTTATAATTGATTATTGAATTTGAGTTTTCGCGTAGAGGTTTGGTGCGCCACCTCACGTCTTCATTAATATCACGCGATCTTTCTTGAGAAGCCACGATAAAATTTTGTATATTAGAGTGTTTTTTGTTTTCTTGTAAAATCTTTGCTGATGGATTTTTAAAATTTTTCCTATAAAAAGTGCGTGTAAAAGCATGATTTACAGGTGGTATCCCCTTCGGCGTTGTTCCTTGTACCACAGGATTGCTGTTAACGCTGGTTTCTTTTTCCCGTATTTCACCAGGTTTCTGTATAATGAAAATAAATTTACTTGGAGAAATAGTAACGAATATCGTTATCGATAGTGATTGTTTAAATTAGTTGATTGATCGATATTTCTTATATTTAGAAAGGTTTAATAAAAAATGTAACGATTATTCAGACCCTCTTTCCAGATATCATAATTATATCCACGTTGACTAATGATACATTTTGCGTGATAATATTAGAAAGTATAGAAAAATTGTAGAAAATTTACCCGTAGAAGAAGATTCATGCTTGCTGTTCTACATCGCCTGCGTAGTTGTTTGCAATAATTGTAAGCTGCTTGTTGTCCACGGTGTATAGTTAGCTGGCATATTTCCCCCTGAATAAGGATACGCACCGGTGAAATATCGCTACATTCAAATAAATTTTATAATTCCAAAGTAGCAGTACGAGGAGATGGTTATATGTTTTACAGTTTGACTTTTATGTTATCGTTAAAATAAATTATTTGATAAATGCCTTTCATCTTAAAGTTAGAGAATCATCCATGCAGGGTAAAAATTTATTGCTGCATGTGACTTGATATATGTTATCTGACGTCATCTAAGTTTTGTATTTTTTAATTGATTTCGCCCCTTTATCACGATCATAAATAACGTGATTAACGCAATAAATGTTCTATAGAATTGAATTTGTTCATAGCTCACAAGAACAAAACTACTACTTTTGTATCTCGTGGAAATAATTCGTCTTCATTATAGATTACTATTTGAAACATGGGGATAAAGCCTGGCATTAAATTATCTCTTTATTTTGCAAGATTAAAATTTAACTGAGGTTGAAAGACTAAATCAATTAAACGCTCAAGCACCATTTTTAAGCTCGCACATTTTGATGGAAAAACGCAAATTTGTTTTGAGAGATTGTTCAACATACTGAACTATACAACCCTTTGATACGGGTTGGAAAAGCAAAACCAGAAAAAGGCTTTCATACAAGTTTATTTTAATATACGTACAAATGAAAAATTATGTACGTGCATTTACCTAAATTGGAATACACATATGTCAGTATTAACCGATGACATCGAAGACGCATTAGGTAAAAAAAAGCAATGCAAGACTGCACAACGACCACAATAAACAAACAAAGTGGTGCTTTATATTTCGTCAATGCTTTCACCTCATATCCTTAAGTGCAATATGATTGAGTATATGGGATATTATGCAACCAACGGATGAGAACTCAAAAGTCTGAACTGTTAATATTGGGAATAAAATATTATACTTCTTGAAGGATAGAGAATTTTTAACCCTTTTCTGTGAGTGGCGTGCGGATCGAAACGACTTCGAATTCAATAAATGATACACCTGTTCATGTCATTTTAGCTGTATATATGATTTGCGCCTATCACTTGCATAAGCTTAGCGGGCATAACAATAAGAAATGTATATAGCAAATTCATATTAATTAGAGCGATAAATGTTCAACATATGACGTTTTGTCTGAGTGTCTTCTTCGGCGAGATTAACCTTTTCTGAAATACCGCGTAGCGATTACAGATATATGGTGGCCGGCCCATCGTTGTCACGCGTAAAATTAAAAAAAAAATAAAAATTAAAAAAAAAAAAAACGTGAATAAAAAGAAAATAAAAAAGTCGTTGTCACGCGTTTTTATTTTGAGAAAATTTGATTCTGCTTGGGACCAACGTTGTCATGCATAATCCTACGCGCACAAACGGTGTTCCCTGGGTTTCTAACTCACTACTGATTTTATTGCGCAATGTTCAATAGATTCAAAACGAAAATGTTCTATAAATTCTCCATGATACAAGTTCAACTAGAAGTAATATATATATATTTAAAATAATGCTAAGAGAATATAGAATTGAATACGAAAATTCGAAAAAATTGTTTTTACATGTAGAAGGTAATTGAATTGGAGAATGCTGCTTAAATGCTCAGTTGTCCGGACACTCGTGCGATACCGATACCGTCTGATCGTACCCGGTACCCAGCATACAGTCACTCATGAAACGAGTGGGAGATACGGATAGTCTAGTAGAATATGGTGAATCGAGGGATGAATTGAAATAAATGGTTGAGCCCGCGCGATTTATCATTCGTCTGGATCGGTACGTTACGGCTGTACGGTATGCCATACCGTATGCACATGCCGACATCGACATTCACGTTCCATTGAAATCAGGTCTAACCATAATCGCCTTCCAGCCTCGTGGTTGTACGATCAGACAGTAGTGGCTAGAGCCGACGGACGAGTCTAACTAGGCTACTTTATGCACATAGTCCTTTTCTATTTATTTAAGTCTATGCTATGTGAATTATTCACATTTTATTAGGGTACGGTAGGTTACCGGTACCGTACCTCCATGACAATTACAATAACCGGTACCATGCTGGTAATTAATATTACGTACAACCTGCAACTGGCTGCGCTCAATCCATCCCTCGATTCACTATATTCTACTAGCTAGACTATCCGTATCTCCCATTTGTTTCATGAGTGATTGAATGGGTACAGGTAAATTTCCCGAATTTTCGTACTCAATTCTATCTTCTCTTATCATTATTATAAATATATTACTCCTAGTTGAACTTGTAGCATGGAGATTTTATAGGTCATTTTCGTTTTGAATTTATTGAATATTGCTCAAGAAATTCAGTAGTGAGTTAGAAACTCAGGGAACACGTTTGTGCGTGTAGGAATATGCCTGACAACGTTGGTCCCAAGCAGAACCACGAGGCGGCCCATCGTTGTCAACCTTTTTATTCACGTTTTTTTTTTCAAATTTTTTTTTTTGCTGTTTTTTTTATTCCGTTTTTATTTTATTTTCGTTTTTATTTTCAATTTTTTTTCTTCATTTTATTTTTATTTTTTTCATTTTTATTATAATTTTTTTTTCATGTTTTTTCACAACTATTTTTTTGGTGCTCCCGAAGTATGCGAACCAAGATGGCGGAGATCGGAACGTAACATGGGTAACAGGTTAGGGTTAGGCGATAATTTTTTTCCAATTTTCCTTATTTTAGTCCTATTATCAGTTCGAAGACTAGCCAAGAGCCTCCCGTAGTATTTATACCTAAAATTATGGCCTAACCCTAACCTAGTACACATATTACATTCCGATGTCCGCCATCTTGGTTCGCATACTTCGGGAGCCCCATTTTTTTTATTTTACTTTTATTTTAAGTTTTTTATTTTTTTTTTCAATTTTACGCGTGACAACGATGGGCCACCATACAGATAGAATATAGCTGTGATTTCTCGAGAAACATGCATCGTTTCCCAAATGCCGCACCTAAAATGTGGTTTCACAGTTAGAAAAGAAAAGTCTACGAAACGAAAAAACTTGTGCCAGCGCCGAGATAAATATTAATGTTCAGTGATGTAATGTGGATATTGGCGGAAGCTTACATCATTTTTTGAATTCTTATAGGACTATACGATTGCTGCTAGAACTTATTGTTGTAGCGGATATTCATATTTGTTACTGAGAACAAATTTAGTGCTTTGTCGTATTTTTTCCACGTGGCGGCCTTTTCATTCCTCGGAGATTTCTGATGTGGAAGATACCTGAAGTCTCAGTCGAAAAAAGCAAGGTTTTTTATTAGGGTGTAATTCTGATTTAGTTTATCTGCATGCACTTGAATCTTGCAATTGATAATTTATGTTATGGCAAATCCATTCCAAGTATAGACTATACACAAGCACAACATTACTCAAAAATAACTCAGCCCTACCTCAAAAGAAGTCACTTTTGATCTGCGACGCCCAATGAGTAATTTTGCTCCAGCTGTGTGACTTTCTGAAAGAATATCCCGCATACGTAAATCCGGGAATTTTCTTTTTTGCTCAATATCCCCACATTCGTGGAGGAACGTGACAACCCCGTCTTCAAATAAAAGAGCAAAGCTTGTATAGTTCTTTTCTGTGTTTTCGTCTTGTTGATGCTCATCAGACAAAGTTAAAATTTTGAAATACCGATGATGCTTTTTGTAACTCAGCTGAACACGATCCCGATAAATCTAGACAAAAAATACAAGTTTAATTATTTTCAATCCACAAAAACAATCCTTCAAAACAAAGTTCTGGAAAGTGATTTTTTGTCTCATCTTTACATTCCAGGGCATTATTTCAGCAAAAAATAAACAATTCGTTCAGCATTATTATGGACGACATAGTACCTAACGCTCACCTCTACACAATATATATTCAACTTTGTCGAGCTGCGGTTTGAAATACCTGTCGCAGTGGAAAGTGCGTAGTTGATAAATCTCGTCTCTCGACTAATCTATGCAGGCAGAGTATCCAGAACTTTTCCGTTATAAAGATAATTTGAATTTGATCTATTTATAATAACTAGATTAGGCTACTCAATGAATTACTAAAGTATTCCTCAACTTTCGATCCACGTATGTGGATCTGTAGTATGTTATCTTACGCATTCCAATAAAATATTCTGTTGGGATTTTTATTGATAAAGAAAACAACCAAATGCATGCAGACAAAAGTTTGTTTAAAAAGATAATGGAATAGTTAAATTCAACAAAGCAATTATAAAAGACTGATTTATGATTGATTTAAATGTATAGCAATATCGTATAACTTATAAGTATATAAACAGGAACTTTTCATTTTATTTATAACTACGGACATTGAATACAAATACAGCAAACACAAATGTTACAACAATAATTCTCAAGTTCAAGTGTGCAACGAATTTTGTAACTTAAATTCGATATTCCAAAACAATACTGCCCGAATCAATCATTAGTTAATGGCGGGTCGTATTTAAATAAACAATTTTTCACAAAGAACGAACAAGCCTAATCATTCGTAAGAAATACCCACAGAAGCTATTTTATTTTGTTTGACTTACAGGTATAATTTACTTCGAAGGGGCTATGGAAACAGGATTTACGGATTTTAAAAGTCTCTGTTCGCTTAATCCCCCAACTTGCCGCTGTCAGCATAAAATACCACCATAGTTTCAGTAAAATCCAAGCGTTTCTGATGAGTTCGGACGAAGTATTTAAATACGCGAAACAAAAGATACGTTGCATGTATCATGTCGTCACTAATACACATACGAGACCTCGTTGTTTAACTAAACAACCAAATTTAAACTAATCACTTTAATCGTACCCAACCATTTATGATTCTGTATTATAATGCAAACAATGATATAATGCTATTTCCATACATAACCGTGATTTTTCAAAACAAAAACCAATGTTATAACTAGCAAATAGAGCGTAAAATCTCTTCAGTGCAATTACATTCTAAAATGTAATTTTACTTTGCTAAATTGAGGATTATCGCATTATAAGTATGCGCCACTAGACGGGAAACAAATTTTAAAGTGCATTTCATTGAAGCAGTCCGTTTCAGCAAAACTAGGTTTGTAATGGCTATACTGGCACTGGTCATAGGTACACCTACCTGTAACGGTAACGTTTAATATCAAAGTATTTAATTCATAAAGATGAAAGGGTAATTCTCAATCCAACAACACGGAGTTATCGGTGTCATCGAGTAAATCTGACACCAAATGTCAAATTGGCGAAAACAATGTTTCGTCGTTTCCCAATAGTTTGTGTTCGGTTAGTAATGATGTATGTGATAACGATTGAGAAAATGACATTGGCCTCAATAATATGCAGAGCTTCGAAAGGTATAAGGAGCGATAGCGAATTCACTCCTGCCTAATGCAGAAAATAAGAGTGGCACGTACTCAAATAATACCAATATAATTTGTTGAATTTTTCGTTTTAGATGTGAAATTAGATTTTTGGCATCTATTTTATAAAATACACTTGGTGTTGGTACACTTTTACTTCAATGAAATGTATTTCTTAGTTATAATAAACGTGGCCAGTTCCCTTTATTTGTATGTTTCACAGTCGCCAATAACACAACAATTCAGCGTGAGCAATTAATAATACTTGTCTGTCCTGGTTTGTACTCGACCGTGTTTATTTATTTGACTTGTGGTCCGGATATCTATAGGACGCATAGTAGAACAGAAGTAAAATCAACTTGCGGTGAAAGATAAGAATACACTTCGCTTGAAACCGACAGATGACAACACCGACAATGCTAGATATCATATATATATCCATTGGTGTTTGTGCTCTGGTGAACTTCACATCTTTCAATATTATCGTTATATTTGTGAATACAGAATACAAATTCAACACAAAATGATGTAGCATTGTTTTATAACCGAAACCCTTTATTTCGGGTAGATCCGATAGATTTTAGTGAAGCAACCCCCATTTTACGATTTTCCAAAATGACAGTATTGTCGTAATAGAGACCAAGTTTAGTTGTTTCGTCTAACTATTTGTACAGAGGCAAATATGGGCCTATAAAAACTCGAGGATATTTGGATATTTGTTATTAATAAAAGTGGATTCATTGTTTTAATCTTTTCTTTGATAACACTAGCATATTTGCCTTGACATAAAAGCTTATGTAATTTGTCGTTTGGCGTAGGCGGACATTTTATGAAGCATAATTCAGTATTTTACGAGCGTTAGAAGTTGGACAAAATTATTACAGAGATATGCACAATGAGAATCACGATCTTCAAACAATAGGTGGAAGTTCACAACTTGACAACTTGTTTAGGAAAATTGAAGTTCAAACCTTTATTCCAAATTGCATTCGTCTATTGACGTCCTGTACGGAGAGCAAGTAGTATGGTGTAGTTCTGTTTATGCTCGGAAGAATTGATACAATCAAAGACAACGATAATTTTGAATCAGCTAGTATTGGATCTGGAACTGATAATAACTCCCAGAGCCTCAATCTACGAAGAGACTAGAAATAAAATATTAGTTTGAGTATGAAATTTAAGTATTAGGGTTTGCAGAGTTTGGACGTGCATGAAAAAAAATTTCACTTGACTTATCTACTAAAAAATACTGATTTGTATTAATTTTTAAGAAGTAAACATTGACAATATCAGTACTTTACAGGAAAAACGATTTACATTGCTTGAATTTGTACTAATTTAGAGATAGGAATTTCAATAATTGACTCTTTGAATGTAACGAACAGTCGTAAAATACTTCACATACAGGTAGCATACTTAGTTCAAATAAGGAAAAGCCAAGCAAAATATATACATTATACCAATATGTATATATATATATATATCTTTATTAAAAGAATAAATATGCTATAAAATAAAATCATGGCGCTATTCCCGAAATGTCGAAATAGATATAAATCTCTTTGTTTATATTTAAATCAATGAGCAAACAATCCATGTCTGGAAATGTTCATGGGAAAATGTTCAAAATCTTATCATTTGGCAGCTTGTCGTTTACTTTACTAGTTATCTCACTTCGCACTTAATAACTAGTTTATTCAATCCCAAACTCAAATACAATCAATGTCATAAATCTCTTCAGTGAGCACTTGAGGTCATTATCACACGGCAGTATCGGTTGTTGAACTTCGGCCAACACTGTGGTTTTGTATGCACAGTCCAAGGTGGCGATTTTCTACTTAAAGTGTTTCCGAATTCTACAGCATGCAAACGTGTGGATCAATTTAAATTTATGCAAAAAATTATCACAAATCACGCGTAGCGTGTTGAAAATTTTCGCTGTGAATCACATGCTTTTTCTCTAACCCGCACTCAATCTTAGAAGATGAATAAAAGCCAATGTAACCAGACAAAGTTCAGAATCGAAGCACTTGACCTCTTGGCGATAGCTAATCTATCGCAGGTGATAACCGTGATTGGTCGAATTTGGAAAAAATTAGCCGACAATGTGGTTGCAAATATTTATTTAAGGTGATGACCGTTTGATGTAAATAAAAATGAAGATATTTCACGAGCTTTTAGATCATATTATTGATGTATTATACAAAAGATTGGGCGCCTTAACACCTACATTTTTCTATACTTTATTTGGTAATATTAGTAGTAGTTTTTGGAGCTGTTTTGGGAACAAATCCGTCTCTTATATTGTGTTACAATACGTCATTTGTAACAATAATTCCATCTATAAATACTTTGACGTACAGCGACTTGGCTGGTTAAAACTACTTCATTACTAAATGATGTGTATTTCTAAAATGGATTTTGAATTGATGATAGAACACATTTATGGTTATGGCCACCATACGCTGCACCCTCACTTACTTTTGTAATGTGCGTTCCCCTCTTTATTGAAGCAACTTTATTTCGGTATGTTAGATATTCCGAATGTTTAAGAGAAATTTTTTGAAATTGCAATCGAGACACAACATTTATTTCTGAATATGAAAATGAAAAAATTTAAATACATTTGAAATTTTTTTTATTGTAACATCCATTACGTATAGATTCATTTCACAACACAGTATTTACACCGCCAAAAATGCTATGATTTTTTTCTATTGATTGAAGAAACAAGTATAATTTTAATTCAGCACCGGCATTCAAAACAATCTAAAATCTAACACAGAATCAATGATCAGCCCAATTTACTTGAATTCGCCATTTTTTTCGTCAAAAATTTATCTCATTGTTATTAAATAAAAATATATGGCCAGCATATCCCACCTGAGCGCGTTATGTTTCTTCTGGATGCTGTTCCGAATTCAACTTCAAACACCAGGCACAAAAGCAATGCAACGATAATCGTCCACCTGAAATTATGGATAGCATAATGGAACGTGTTGGAAATAACTAGTACATGTTAGCATTCTCATACCAAGAATAAAACTTAGTATGGCAGCATTCTGACACAAGTGAAAAAACTAATATTGATAAGTATCTTGTAAGAAGTTTTATACGTTTCCGTCATGATATGCGGAAAGTTATAATTGATGCCGTGATTAAGCTCTCTTATTTCACTTTATGCAGCTGTATAGACTACTTGAAGTCAATTTGACCAGAATTGTTTCACAAACCCACCCCACTATTTGAAGGGTATCGTATTTCTTCAGGCTTGAGCAATAGCGGATCATAAGTGGTTCAAATATTATTTGAAGGGCAGAGTGGGGAGAACGCTCAACGAAATATACCGAGGATTCGACTTGCAGTAATGTAATGCCAGGGGTCAAAAGGCAACAGTACAACAGATATCTAGATATGTATATGCATATATATATATTGGTTTGTTCATATTTCGATAGAAGTTCATTATTTTATAAGGGTGTATGATTCTCGATTATCATTGCAAACTAACATAGCCAGTATGAAATCAATTCATGATAAATTTCTCGAAAAGCGTCGTTTCTGTCTAAAACAGACAAATGCATTATTGCATTCATTCAAATTAGCCATTCTCACCAAGACAAGTCATAAACAATTTACAATGCAAAAGACTGCAAAATTTATACTTTGGGACTTATATTTATTAATCAATCGGATTCTGAACTCGGAAAACGGAACAGGAAAATAAAACGGCAAAAATGTCACGGCCGAATAAACATCGTATGTCTGGCGTGACGTTTTGGTTACACGGGTCAGGACGATCGTTCTACCCATTTACACCAGATGTTTTACGAAACAATGAACGCTTTATTTAGTAGAATGGATGTCGCAAAAATTACGAGTGTTGTTTTATTACATTGAACAAGGCTAACCACATACCCATTTAGGACCATTGCGGGAAGCTGAGAGCTCATGTGGTCTCCCATTAAAATTTCACTTTAACACCGTATTAGGACTGATTCGGTGACATCAAAAAAAGAACGAACGGACACCTTCTTAAAATACAGCATTTTTTTTTTAGTAAATGTTATACAGGGGTCAACAAAAAGTGTTACTCATGTGAGTGTTATTGAAAGTGTACAATGTCACCTACATACATTACATCTATATACTACATACATTTCAGAAATGTCTTTATATTAGCTACCCCTTATAGAAATCTTTGATTGTTGCGCGCTTAGTAACGAAAAATATGCTATTAATAAATAAGAAATTTTAAAGGATCTAATTATTTGATGTCGTTACTTCGATACTCCACTGCCACTGCACGTCAACTTTGACTTTGCGACATATATAGGGTAAACGAGTATCTTTTGCCACCCCCAATTCTCTATTCTTCTAAGTTGCAGTTTTGGCAAACAATGGTTTGTCACGCAGGATTTGGCGTAAAATTCAACAACGCATATATTGTTACTATAATGTCTACTGACAAAATTAAACTTGACACCAGTTCACGGAGACCACGGAGCTTTACGAATTACGTCATACCAAGTGCGGTTACAGAAAATTGCAATCTTATCGGCCACGAGGTTGTGGCAAATATATACTACTATAGAGTAATAGATAATTTACTAGCTAGACTTGTTACTATTAAAATATCGGTAAATATTTCTGGTATCGTTTAAAATCGAACACGATATGTTTCTAATTTTCTAACACTTTGAAAATTCAATTTAAATTTACTCGCATTCGCCAGTTACGGTGTGAAAAAGTGAAAGCATTCTGATGGTCCTATGAAATAACAAGCAGCGATTCATTGTATGTTTGAAACAGCAAGTTTACTCAATATTAAACTTGTATGTAGACTGGGAAACGGGCCATACAGAGGACATAACATACTTCGTTTGATTCATTTGCCTTTTTTAAATTAAATTTAAAATAAAATAAGTAAATGGCACTGGAATATGAATATACGTACTTCCTCATTCTGCATTCCTGCTGGTATTTCCGCATTCAAAGCTGACATACAGGACGTCAATATTGCAATGTAATTTAGTTTTAAAACTGAAATATTTGTTTCGACGTAGTATAAAAAAATTAATCATAATTTGTTACAGGCCATAACTTTCACTAGGTTCACTAGAAACACAACGATGAAACAGACTATACTATACGATTTAACTATTCTGTAGATTATCTGTAATTTATTCACATTTATATTTGCAATGCTCTTATTATTTTAGTCAGGATATAATTGGGAGACGTCTTGTTATTGGCAATTTATCGAAATTATTTGTAAAAGTGTTAGAACTCCGATAAATATTTGCTATATAATGTGTTGCAACAGTTCTTCCATGAAGGTACTTTTGGCATTGATTTTGTTCATCTAAGAGTTGGGAACGATTTTGCAGCAATCATATCTATTTTTCATTTCGATATCTCAAAATTTTCTAGCGTATTTTTTGTATTGTATTTTGCATTCTATCTTTTTGGTCGGGAATATATGCTAACAAAATAGGCTTCATACAAATCTAATGAGGAATCTATCAGCCTAGGTTGGCCCGATAACTCAATCTTAATGTTATGGCCGAAACTTCCTGCCGTGCAGTGTTACAAAAAATGCTGCCTATATGTCAAATATTTAAGTAATTACCCTCCTTAAACGGAAATTTCCCTTCATGTCACTTTCACCGTTTTGAAGGGTTGGATACACATCCTACATGTAGGATATAGAAAGATTTTTTCACGTTTTAGTGAGTTTTTTGGTGTTTTTTTCATGTTTTGCTTGATAAATGAGAAATACTGATAATGTCTTTGTTTTGCATTGCAATGTTTGCCTATTCCTGGCACTATTGTGGCCCGCTAACAATGCAAAAATAATTTTGTGGCCCGCGTGGCCGACAACCTTGGACCACCCTGTTATAGATCAATAGATATGCTTTCGAATAAGTTTGCTGGGTGTTACCACTGAGCATCTCGTCTGGCTAGCCATCAATCCATTGTAATAAATCTTTCATCATCAAACAAAAGTCGCGAACTTTTAATAGCTAACTTCTTGAATTGTTCGTAGAGCGAGCGATAAAAACTTTTCATAGGATTTCAACCTTATCAAACAGACTTGCTGAATAAAGATAAATTCTACTATTTTTGGCCCGTTCATCACAATACAATGCAAGCTAACTTCAAAAAATTCATTTTGGGTCAGCGACGCGTGGAGTTTTTGTTCTAGTACTTTGCAACACAGCTTTCTTGTATGTCACTAACTTTTATGACAATAGGGGTTCATTTCCGTTTTGCGTAAAAAAAGACTTGACATGTCTTTATGGCGTTTTGTGCGAAAACTGCCGGTCGCACGACCCCCAACGTAACATTATTCGATCGCAAATTGAGGGTTTTGTGCAGTGTTGTCATTAGTTCTAAAGCCAAAGGAAAGCCGTTTGTCTGCAATCAAATTTGAAGTGTGCGAAATGCGTGTTTTTCTATTTTCAAGCATGTTCTGCGTTTGACAACACTCAATATATATATCGTATATAATCATGATAACAACCTTTCAGAAAGAACGTTTTGTCACTTTAGCAAGGTTTTATCCGATTTAAAAGATTTTAAGCTCCCAATCACATCTAGTTACGTTGTATAGATCAAAAAAGACTACAGATAAAAGAGGAATCACATATGCAGACCGAGCTTTCTGAAAAGAATAGACTCACACAAATGACGTTATTGTTGCGTGTTTACAAAAAATTACTAACTGACAACATAATAGCGTAAATATTCGTGGATATAGATCCCTATATTTAGAATATACATATGCTCACCAATAAAACTATTCTAAATATCTCAACTGCGTCCACATATATGTATAGCTGTGCTGCAATAGTTGGCATAAGCCCTAACAAACCAGAACAAAGTCTACGCATTTGCCCCGTGAGACTTCTGACTGCGGTTATGTCACAGCCAATTTGAGAGTATTTCTATTGCGAGTTCAGCTAATGAAGACTTCGAGATAGGTAATTAGGACAAAATGTGTCGTAAGACCGCTTTTGAAATGGATTTGTAAGAAAACTGAACAATCATACAACGTACTTATTTCATACGTTTGAAGCAGTGATTCAATTGTTAATCCAATATCCATCTATACCACAACCAATGATTATTAGTTACCTCGTATTAATCCCGTCAGAATCGGATTAGAATATGAATAGAATTGTCATTGAATATGACAATGCTCTTTTTACAGAAGAATTATAGTGGGAAGTGCGAACTTAAAAAGCGCATGGAGCAAAATACCACGCATTCCTAAGAGAGTGAAAGATATGTAAACTTTCATTTTGGTAGAAACTAATAATAAATAGTGAGGAATGGGGTAATAGTATAATAGTAATATAAATTCTGACCGGCTGATGTCTCGTACGGCTGACAAGAGACTTCGTTTTATTATAAGAATCAAGTATATGGTTAAAAAGATAAATTGTTGGTCCACTTTACTTTTTATATAAAAAGCATGTTAGGCAAAATCCCACAATCTTAGAAGTTGAAGAAATATTATAAGTCAAGAAAAACACAAATTTCATCTATCACGACGAAATATATCTTGCAACATATCATTTCTAGTCTAGCAAAAACTGTAATTCAACAACCAGAAAACTTTTTCATCTCTCATCTCAAAATATATTATCAATATAATATTCTGTTTTAATTACTTATTACTGATTGATGTCAATCAACTTCCGTTTGTATAATTTCAATTCAATTAGTGGATAGACTTGAGTAACACATATTTTGTGGTTAGTAAATTACACGACTGTCCCTGGAAGTGATTTCGTCACTCACTTTATTACCGTAACTTTTATAACATGTAAAAAGCTGACTGACCTAAAATCTTATATTAACTGCTATGCAGCAAAATTCTTACAACATCAGGGGTTTTGAAAAATTCTCTACTCCTGGAGATAAATAGGCTAAATTTTAGCTGCAGCATGATCGTCTAAATGAATAGATATACATAGATTTATATTATTAATAAAATTATTCTCATGTTCGGATTGACTTGAAAAGAAATAATAAAACGACATAAAATTTCCGGATGAATAATTTCAAATTGGAAGTTCTTTTATTTTCAGTGAAGCCCGAAGATGATAAAATGAAAACAAACTTCGAAATAAAACAAAGTTTTAAAATAGTGTAAATAAATATGTCAAAACTTCAATTCAAGATTCCGTACTTAAATGTAAGGTATATACAATTTTATAAGAGTAATTTAATATCTTACTACCATTTACCGAGTTATCATTCGTTCATCTAGCATGGAACGAACAATAAAGATGATGCATTCTGAAGGAAATCCGTATACCACAAGTTTGATAATAAATCTTTCACTCTTTTGGTCATAAAGGAGGGATGTGATCTATTCAATTTTCCGTTTTATTTTTCGTTCATTTTCCGTGAAAAATGGCATCATATATGGCATTGTACGAAAGTATTTCACCTACACGTTCTCACTGCGGTAACACACGGTATTTCACCATTTCAGGAATATGATATAATTATATAGAGCGAACGACGCGCCGTTATTGCTATAAAATAAGAAATATCACAACGTGTTATGTTATACTTTTCTAGATGGGAAAGACTTACTCACAAACAAACGATCAAAGGCCGTACTCATTATCTCAACCATGAATATCTTAAAATTGTCACTTTAACGGAAGAAAACAAGCAGCAGTAAATTTCGCATAACAAATACCAGCAAAAAGAAAACATTGTCGAAAAGTTTTTCACGGGGATCTCATGATTCAATACGTATAGGAATAGAGTTTCAACACATAGTTTCAACTTAAATTTGGAAAATTATTTTCTTTTTCGATGCCATAGAGTAGTGGTTCTCAACCGCCGGTCCGCGGAGCTTATTTGCCGGTCCGCGAGAAATTTCGTTGTTTTTATTCCGTCTCAATCGCTTTACCGAAGACGAGGTTGCGTTGGTTTATTACGCAATTTCTCTTCCGTCGTCTTATTGCGACGTATTTCGCGACATCTTGGCGCCGAGTAATCACACTTTTTTTGCTCCGATTCATCGCGAATGCGCTCCGATCGCTTCATCGAAGAGGAGGTTGCGTTGGTTTATTACGCACCTTCTCTTCCGCCGTCGTAATGCGACATCTTGGCGCCGAGTAATAATCACACTCTTGCTTTTTCAGCTCCGATTCATCGCGAATGCACTCCATCAATTCTGGCAAGATTCAAAAACCTAAAAATCGGCACGCGTGCTTTTTTTCTGTTCTGCGTCATATTCTTAATTATTATGACCATATATATAGAACGTTAAGCATATTTTCTTTGTTAAAAACAAAAAACAGTCAAGAGCAGTATAATATTCCAGTAGGATATGAACTTGTTGCGACCCGGCAGGTGGCCACGAGACGCGCAAAAAAGCATGGGCCGCAGAGATCTTTTCCAATATTTAGAGCAGACACTGTAGGATTTTGATCCTGGTGCCAACTTGTCAAGTCACCGACGACTTTGTCATTGTAATGTAAATTCATTTCGTTTGAAGTATCGATCAACTGCAGAGGGATTAATATGATGAACCCGATGAAAAAAAAAATCTTGATTAAAATTGTGATTCTACTTTACAGTCCAGATTTAAGAAAGAATCACTGTCACAATTTTGGATATCTCTTGATAACGAATACCCATCGCTAAGTAATCAAGCAATCAAACTGTTGTCCGTATTTTAAATCAGTTACTACGTTATACGAAAAAACATTTTCATCACTAGCTTCAATTAAAACGCAGCAAAAAAATCGGGTACACGCCTCTGCAGAGCCACGTGTTGCAGAAACTTCTTTGAAGCCTCTTTTGCAATCCTATAATGAAAACGAAACAGCAGCAAAATTCTCACTAGAATTAATTGTGTTTGTACATGATTTGGCATGTACATGTTTTTTATGTGAGATGTTTTATGCGTGCCTTTTTTACGCATAATGGGTGCCCAGTACTGCATTTGATTACGAAAATAGATGATATTATTTTATGTGTCACCCACCTCAATTTTTTGCCGGCACATTATTTGATAGTTTTTCTTCGTGTGAAATGTTTTTAGGTGTGCCTCGTTTGTCTAGATTCTAGAAGCATATTGAGTGCCCGACATTGCATTCTATTATCTGTTTCAACTTTGTGCCGGTCCGCGAGTACATTTAATTTAATTTTACCGGTCCGCCAGGATAGAAAGGTTGGGAACCACTGCCATAGAGGACAGCAAAATTATATTAAGTAGCAAGCATCCTGACGAATCGCAACTCTATCATAATGACTTAATTCGAAATACATCCATATCAGAACGCAAAATTGAGTATCACATATTTGGTATATATCTATGGCATTGAAAACAATATTAAATTCCAAATTGCGAGGCTCAAATCTGTCAAACTTAAGCTTTGGTCAAAGGGTATTAAATTGCTACGCTTAAACTTTAATCGTGACAACAATAAAAGTTAAAACCATATCATTTAGTCTCTAACATTTTGTTTACTGTTTAATTGCTTTATGGATATTTAATAGTTCAAGATGGTGAGAATTAGGCAGATTCAGTAAACAAGAACAAAACCAACCCTTAAGTTTGACAGCTAAATAAATATAAGCAAATTCAGCCAGTAGGATGACCTAAACATGCCATTTTTATTTCGCCAGAGCAGATACTTTATGACTAGTTTTAATTTAATGCCTATATGCTTTTAATAATAGCTCTATTTATACTTGAAACTCCTACTATATCTTTGTATGTATATAGTCAAATATTATATTCACAATATCACAAGTCACCATGAAACCACATCAATAACAAAACCTTTGTCCCAAAGTAAATAACCATGACCGCCTCAGAAACATTGAATTTTATGGGCAATATCGACACAAGAAAAGGGTATATGTGTACAAAGTTGTAAATAATGTCGTAAAATTTTATAACACCCACAAGGTAAAGACAAAGTTGGCTGAAGTTGGCTGAATAAAGAGACTCATCATTTCGCCACTGTATACATCAAAGAGGTAATCCAGGAAAATGTTGATTCTAGCATGCTATATATTTAAATCAATTCCACTACCATGTAAAAACAATGATTTTTGCAATTTTGTGATGGTATTCTCGCCGGTGAATTTTTTTCAACACTCTTCATTAACATCAAGTCGTGATCTGATATATAAGACTAAAAATTTCATAAATTATGTCCTAAACTTATTTAGAAACAAAAGTACAATCATTGTTCATTTGTGCAAAATCGGCTATCATGAACCACTGAGTATTATTAGTCCTATCTTATGAGTACAGATAGCACCATAATTGTGGCCAAAAGAAACAAATAGAATCTCATATTATATTATATTCAATAACATATCATTTATGATAAATTCTATATACGGCATACACTATTTCTGAAATACATACATTGGCTGTTCTACTGGCAAACTATTCGATGCCATACGCCCCGGTTGTGGCACTTGGTGTTAAAATCATAATCTTACTACTAAGGGATGTGATAGAAGATTCAGTTGCGCCTCTGATGACAATTCTCAAAATAGTTGTTCATATTTTTAATGAAAATGCACTTTTATTCAAATCTAGACACATATGCTATATATATATATATATAGATATACATAAATTTCGGAAATATATCCATGGTGTGGTTATCGTCGGTAGTCATGAATATCGGCAATTAAGCACGACTTCCAAGGCCTGGGGGCTGAGGCCATACGAATACGTGACACTTTTAACAATGTTCATAGAGACCGAAAGACTGATTTTTTTATTTCAATTAAATTTTTTCATGATATTTATGGCCTATGCGTTACGAACTTCGTGACGTTCATATCGACTCTGTCTCACTAAAACATACCGGGAATATACGTTAGTTTTAACATAAATATAACACAATAGTGCGATGTCACATTATTCCATGTCAAGTGAAATTGGAACTAGGAAACATTTTCGATTGCTGGTAATATGAATTGAATTGCCATTCAACCTTCAGGTCGTTGGTAAATACAAGTCAATTTTGCATAAAATGTGAATCACAATAAGCTACGGACTATCATGCGATTTGCCGTACCGCAGACTGGGTCATTAGCTTACATTATAACACAAGATGAAGAGGTTTATTAATATTACTATTTAAATTTCAATATACACGGAAAGATCGAGTAACTAACTACCAGTTTCAATACCCATGATGCTTTGATAACATACCAGACAGTTATGCACTGCTTCAACGATTTTAAACGAGGTTTAGTACAAGGCTTCTTCCAAACAGAACTTCCATGGCCACAAACATAGTTTAGCTAGTTGCAATATGCCAATCAGCTATTTTGTTCATGAGTTGTAACGTAAAAAATAGTTTGAACTTATAAACGCTTACGAAGGTGATAAGATACAACAAGTTTTAATGAATACCTCCAACCTTCAACAAAATCGAAAATTTGTATACGTAACGGTAGAGCAATGCGAGTTCACGTTCGTTAACAATTGCTGATCGAAATCGATTGAGAGAAAGTCCCTAGCTGTCCATCTTTAAACACTGATTTGAAAGGGGTTGGTATGGTAGTTCGAATAGCAACACTATTGACGTAGTCAATATATAAGCGCCTATTAAATGCCCATATTAACGGCGTGGTACATATGGTTGGAACCGAGCTGTTGAAGTTAATTTAGTTAATTTATGTTTGATCACTGTAATTTGAAACATATTCCTCATTCAAATTAAGAAATATTCAATTGGTAATACTTACAATAATCTATACGTTTCCTGTTCTCCCGCTCGTGACTTGGCGGCGGAGCAAATGTGCTTCCTAATAACGTCGTTGATTTTCCACCTATAAGTGTTTTCGCTGTTCGCACACTTGTAATGCCAATTTTTTTGAACGATAGGAAGCTGACAATCACCGCGATAACTGGGCATTGGTAGGGTGACGTATTCAACAATCTTCACACCCTAAGCTTCTTTTTACACTGCAAAAAAAGAGTGAATTTTACTAAGAATACATAATTAAAAGCGCAATTTAAGAACGTAGAAGAGATACTGCAGATAATTTCAAACATGTACATTTGTTACCAGTTTTGATGTCTGATTTTACCACCTCATCAAGGTACATTTGGAAAATAAATTTAGGTTATATTTCAATGATGCATTGTGTTAAAATTGCATCGAAAGTTTGTAACTGGCTCAGGTTTTTAATGGTTGCACATTGTGATAATGTGGCTTCAGTCTTATACATCAAACCACCGGTTTATTTTTAACGCTCTGTTGCCCCCCGGGTAAATTAAGGGTTGTCTACAACAGGGATAAATAAGCATAACATACCGTGCGCTTGAATACGTACAGGAAATAAACGTCTTAAACCGAATACCACGACGTCGAATATATCGTTTGACGTAATATAAGTTACTATGAACTTAACATTGATATAAAAAGTTTTCTACATATTATCTATTCATAAGTAGTCATTTTAGAAAATTTTATCAAAACTAAATAAACGAAGGTCTCTCTCCCAAATATTAATCGTCGGTTGCAAGATAGGTTATTTCGATACACACCTGTTAAAGTAAATACCAGTTACTTCAGTATGAATACAAACAATATATAGTTTGTCTTGTTTGTCGCCAATTGGAAGGCCGGTGATGATAGAGAATTTCCGCCGATGTAGAATGTCGAATTTTGGAAAGAATAAAGCATTACTCCGCCGCCAACGAGGAAACCAATCCCAGGTGTGTCGTTGCCGATGTATTGTGTCACTCTCGCGACGTTGTCGACGTAAACGTTTCAACCGCTACATCCACTTGTCGTATAATCCTTCAATTACAGTCCTTCGAGGAGGCGAAGTTTCAGCTCGCCAATAAAACACAAAAACTTCTGGTTACGATTAAAAGTGGGCCCTTCAGAATTTTTCACTAGTAAACTCTGTTAAACCATGCCTTCACGCGGACAACAGGAAGTCCACTGAACTGATGACAACCTAAAACAACAGCCCTGAGCCGTCTTCAAACAAGGTTGTGTGGTCGATTGGAATAGTTTGTACTCGGGTGCAACTTGACAGCACCAAACGCCGAACTGTGCAGTACTCCCGTTTCCTTGACTAATGAGCTGTAACTGCTACAGGCACCCATACAATTTGGGACTTCACCTATATATTATACCAAAAGAAGCACCCTGTCAAAGGAAAAAATAATAAACTAAACTTAAAAAAAAACATCAGATATAACATACTAATCAAAAAGTCGGCAGGCACTAAAATAAGGTGTTTTTTCAGACATCAAAAACAGGTGCAGAGTTAATATGTCCACTTCTTCACGACAATATAAAAATAATCTGTATCTGAAATGTACGTCATAAACTGTTTTATAATATATCTAGATCGTCACTAATTCATTTATTGTAACAATCTATGTAATAACAACTTATGTAACTCCAACTGATTTAGGCTATATCAAACATTTTGTCGTCAATTCGTTCCATCTTTACTTCTGAAATCCAAATGCGTGGTCATATCAATCAGCATACCACGCTCAATTTTCCTGCGCTCGAATCGGTGCTTTCACCACACACGGTTCGACGCGTCTGAGATGCCGGCACGTGCCGGTGCCCATGGGCGCGAGGAAAAAAGAAAGTTAATTAAATTAAAATCTATCGTATGGGAAGCAAGTATCAAATACATTGTTGGTAAATTGCGCTCTTTGCTTAAAAACGAATATCCAAATAACATGGTGATATATTTGTCTTTGACAAGCGTGAATTGATACCAGATCAGGATCTGATCGATTATTGTTATTCATCTTCACACTTGGAAACGAGAAAACTGCGTCCCGCGGCGTCAAATAAATATTTGCCCACGTACCGAATTTCAAATGTTGAAGTTGGCAAATTTCGGTCAAATGCAGTTTAAGCGACAAATTCCACACTATCGCTGCATTTAGCGAGTAATTAAATTACCATTGGTCGGGTGGTTGAATTCACATTACTGGAAGTACGGCGATTCAAACTTAATTTTCGCTAAAAAAAAATGGTCACTCATATTTAAAAATGAGTGTACGTGTTATTTCAAAAATGTCTTATGATATTTTAAACCAGTAACGTAATATTTTAATACTTTGCGATGTAATATTTGTCAGTAATTTAGCCGTGACCCCAATATATTTCCAGATCATTCAACATACTGGATATTGGAAATTTTGATTAAAAGTAGAAAGAAAATGATTTGGCTTTCCATCTCGCTGATAGAATATCGTCTGGCCGCTGTTGACGATACTATGAGTATAATTTGTCGCTTTCCACCCGAACAAATAACCGAGTCAAGTGTTGAAATATGACACATCTACGTCAACTCTGTAGAGTAATTGGCATCTTCAGAGAAACCGACAATGTAAACGAGCATCAGACGACAATCTGCCTTGCACGCGTGATGTACAAATTACAATGCACTCGAGACCAAGCCTTTCCCGATTTGTGCACTTAACCTCTGATAACCTATTTCTTATATATAGTGTGAGGTTATCATAAATCGTTTTATATCAACAGTAATCTCCGACAATATTTTAAAACATTGAAGACAAAGTCTGCTGCCATACTGAAAAACAAGCAAAAACTCAATTTCGCTATTTTAAACTGATTGAAAACAAAGCCTAAATAGAGCAAGGATACAGCCGTATTCTATCTTGCGTTCGATAGAAAATCGTTTTAAATTGATTTGGGGTATCAAACACTCGACGGTAATTTTTGGACAATTTGTTCCGTCGTCCATTATAGTACAGCGTTCTAAATCGGTATGATCTCTAATATTAAATGGGTCACAATAAATTTTTTTCGGCATGATTGAAAAAATTTGGAAATTGTTATTAAAACATATAATGTTAGTATCAAATCTTTGATTGAAACATGCTTCATCAAACTAGTATACCTATATATATTGGTTTTAACAAGCATCATCGAAGCAAAATAACAACCAAGGTGTTCAAAACCTGATTTTCTTTTAATCTTAGGCCCAAACCACAACAAAAAACCTGATTCGACTTACAGCTTACTCACATAACAGCACCAAGAATGTAAATATTTCCAGGTTATCGATTAGGCTGAAAAAACTGGATGTTTCACTTTGCAGTGAAAAACATTGTGTTTCTGTATTCGGGTTCTTTTCTTTTTCTAACTGCAAATTTAAATTCCAATTTTACGAGGCCGATTAGTCAAAAGTTACAGATCTTACATGTTATAAACAGGAAGGGCCCGATCAATCATTAAGCAAAATAAGCACGAGTTCAGGGCACCAAGGAAAGGTGGCACCAAATGAATTTCCATAGACGAATTTTCAATAGTGCGTCAGTGAAATGATTCGAGTTGCATGGCCTAAGGATTGAGACATCAATATTTACCGGTTGAAATAAAAATTTGTTTATTTTTTTTTTCAATTATCATCTTCAATCTTCCTATTAAGGCATGAGAACTATTTCCAAGAAATAGTATGTAAATTAATCATAACTTGGCCTTCGATCAGTAATGAATACTGAAACTTGCTTATTTGATTTTAGATAACATGGGACACTAGATTCATTTTTTTTTTCAAATGTTTGCGGAATTTCTCTCAATAATACCGAATTTAGAAATTTATCTACATAAAATATCATTCCGATTATCCGACTTATCGATTCCATTCAACGATGCATTTCTATAAAAATTGAAAACAAACTTTTAGCTTCATTCGATTATTTTTCAATATGTAGAGATACTGTACACGGATATCTAAATAGATGTTTATAATGTATTAACAATAAAGTGGCAAAGAGATTTCACTGATTTGTGATAATACATTGTAAATATTTGCACTACAAATCGTAGATGCACGTAGATATTGCAAACGCATAAAGGAAATAATAAAAGTTGACGTTCTACAGAGTAGCGAAATTCTATAATTTCAATCTATATTTCTCTCTCTGTTATTGACCGAAATAGACAAACTTATCATTGATTTAATGACTAAGTTACAACATTGGACTTACGTATTCAAATTATTGTCTGACACTATGAATAGTTCTCCATTTAAAATTATATTAGCTAGAAAATATATATCAATAGAAGTAAAACATTAGATAATTGGCTGGATTTTTATTTGAAAAAAAATTTTGAAAGGCTCCTGTTAGCACCCATTGTTTAATCAACGCACCAGAGAGAGATTGAGATTTATCCTGTGGTATAGCGATTGTAAAGACCAAACCTTTAAAAGACGAGAAGTGGCAACTACAACTGTAAGTCATTTACTTACCGATTATGGAAGAATAAATTCAACAAATCAAACTCAAACTAGAGATAAGGGCAACCAATAGAATGAGTGAAAGCACTATATATTCATATTTGGCATAACAACAAACTTTTGATGCATTTGCCCACACCGACTCTGTTAAGTGATGTTGGTAAACCTCGTTGCTTTTAAGAGTTATAGATAATGCTGCGTATAAAATACCTAAAGCGTTGTGGATGACCCTCAAGTTGAAGATTGAATGTTTCAAATGAGTGCAAATTGTTTATATATTTTCAAAAACATCAACCTCAGCCGCAAAGTAACTAACGCGAGTACAAGACCGCAGACAGTTATATCAATATTTGTTAATTACACAAAAACTGAACATGCGGTTAATTTAGTCTAAAATCTTTCTGTTATAACACTTTTATTTGGTGATGCTTAACGCTCATGTGCCAAAGAGCAGTACGAACTGCTATTATCCTCAACTCTAAATTTAAACTCATACTTAAATGTCATTAAAGTAAAAATTAAATAGGTATCACACTGCACACTAGTTTTAATACTGGGTTTATAATGACTTTTATCACGTACACAGAAATACAGAAAAAGTTGGCAATATCGATGTTTCACCGATAGCCCTTGTGTTTGAATGCTGTGATATTTGTTTTATGAACGAAAGATTTAAATGGATGTGAAGATGACTGGTGAATAAATTTGCACAAGTTATTGAAACCCTTCAAAGGATATAAGAGTGCGTCGAGGATGTAGAAAGTGCATAAAAAGGGCGGGTCCCACATTTGACATTCAAGCGGACGTGGTTGAATCTAGACACAAAATGTTTTTGATAAGCGCGACATGGTGAGTTGTTTGACTGTAATGAAGTTTAAGCTTGGCAAATCGAAACAGAAATTAATTTTGAGAAACATGAAAAATATATTGAGAATACATATATATACATATCTATATTCGGATGGAAGATTGAATTAGTTTTGACGGTAAAATACCATAACTTTTACCATCAATTTGAGTGAATTTTTATGAACATGTTTCATTGAAAGCTTCATTATTTCATTAGTTTGCTTGTGGTTTGAACTTACACTTCACAGCGAAAACGGTGTGAGGACATGCTTTGAATTTTCAAGCACTAGAATTGACGTCTCACGCATTAGAATTGACTCTGGAATAAAATAAAAAATTTCATATGGTGTCAAGGGTCCCATGTGAAAGTCTTATGTTCACTATTACAAACTACATTACTGCAAGCTCTAGGTTTATTGCTGACATGATAACTTAGTGTCCTATCAGTGTTTGAAGCTTCCTATTTGACTCTTGGGACTACGAAATTCTTGCAAAGCTTTGAAAATGCATCGCAGACGCAGAGCTTATACAATAAGTGGGGCATCAAGGCTTATCGGTATTGAGCCGGTACAAGTATGCGAGTTATCACTGTAAAAATATGGCGGTAAAATTACCCTTATTTTGAACCGATCATACATCTGCGCGATGGCATTGACTTGACCTTGTGCCTGACGAATGAACATTTACGATTGAAAAGAGCTAGTTGAAATCAGGAATACGACAAAATTCTAGTTAAAGAGTAGATACTGTAAAATTTTCAACACCGAATATGCGTAGTTACCGGGTCTAGACGAAAAAAATATATTACTCTTAATTTCCCTCCAACCGCAAAAACCATCATCGTAGCCCGCCGGCCGATTTACCCATTTTTCAATACACATAACTTCCTTCAAAGGATCTAATCCATTACCCAGCGCACTAACTTGGGCGTCTTGATTTCCTATATAATCGTAAACGTGACGCATGTTTCCTACGGCGGGAACAAACAAAAACTAAATATTCGTTTGTTTCAATGAATTTATATACAAACCTTAGTACCTAAGGTTGCTACCAGTATTC